GGTTAGTGAGATCTCAACGAGTGGTTAGTGAGATTTACAATGAAATAGGACTGAACCATACCAATACCCTACACTGTCTGACTCTGCTGCTCTGACATCCTACACAACTATACAATTACTGAGTTAAGTATACTAGATGGTTTACTGATCTCTGATCTGTCTGATTAGCCATATCCTGATATCTCTGTATCTGCATACTGCTGTACTGCAGTACTGGCATATAGAACAGTAGAAAGTATTCCTGTATTCATATAGGATGGATTCAGTAGATTGGATTTCTGGATTTGGATATTTATCCCAGGGCAGCAGGAAGAGCCGATAAGACAGCTTGATCCAGTAATTATATGGCAGTATGGTGAACCACGGCTGCACGGCCTCTTGCAGTCTTGTTTGGTTACCAGTCCATGTACTAATGTAGGCCTGTAGGACAGTATGGTATGGGATTAGTTAGCCAGTTCTACAGTTACCCATTTGTTTCAGGGAATGCATCGGTTTTATGAACCACCCTGTGTGCGTCAAGTTGTTCACTAATCATCTCGCTCATCGCCGACATCCGGAAAAGTACTCTGCTTATGTTTAGACTATGGTCGGTGTTGGTGCCCCAGTCCTGCATTCCCACCACACTTTCTTTGTCTTTAATATACCATTCGCTCCATGGAACAGGATTGCAGTAAGATCGTAAACACTTCTATCTATCAAGAATGGCATCTTCGCCAAATTCATCTTGCTTTGTGAGCTGGTGCAGTTCGAAATAGGAAACAGACAAAAATGTTAGGCATATGCATGTCTATAGTGTTTTTCGGGATATATTTTAGATGCTCATAGAAAAACTTTTTAATTATTCTGTAATATTTTGTAACTGCTGATTTTTTCCACAATCCAAGACTATTCGTTTGTAATGCTTGACTAGTCTTGTCATACCAGAGTCAGAATTGAGGCTCGGAGTCTGGAGTCACAAGTTTGGCATGTATTAATGGAGTTGAAGCTGAGATAATTTTCCAGCTCCCTGTGATCTGAGTTGAACTCGGGGATTCGTTTAAATCAAAATTTCAGACTTTCAATTGTGATAAAAGAAGCCGAATTTTTTTTACCAAAACACAAAATGCATTGAATCTACTAAGCGTTCATATCAGTCCATTAAAGGGGGATTTCTATGACAAATCTTTGGTTATCGAAATTCGATTTTTTCAGAGTTGGAGTCAGAGTTGAAATTTTTTTAACCACATCTGGAAGTCAAAGTCAGAATTTTTTTTCACTTCAACTGTCTAAGTCGATTATAAAATTTTCACCATCTTCACAACCCTGCTTTGGATAGGGAATGTACAAGAAGTCATGTTTATCTATATGATTAATATTTTTTTTCTTGAATAGATATGAAAATTTTAATTTGTTTGTAAATCATGATGAGGTTATAACTATGCACATTCAGTGATAAATTATACCCCTTTGCAAGCTTTTGGATTATTCTGGATGCTGCAATTAATGAATGGATTGCACCTCAGTTAGAAATCATTATACTTTTTATTTCGATTCAGTTTTGATCCACAGGAGTAAAAACTAATCAAGAATGTCTTAGATGAAAGAAACTTTTTTTTTTTATCTATTTAACCCTTTCCATGCGATTTTTATTTTTTATTAAATAATCGACTTTATGCATTTGTACCCCCACAACTAATCGATCGACTAATGAAAAAGTAATGATCCTCTGCTGCCCACTGACGGCTCGTTGAAAAGCTTATTTAAAGAGCTTGCAATTGGCGATTTTTTTTAAAAGGGGTGGTTCGAGTCACAGAGTCACGCCGCTTCTTGGTTGGCAAACAATAGCATAATATTGCTGTAGCAATTTCGTTATCTAACTCAAAATACTTTGGTAGATGGAAGGGATAATATGTCTTCTATTACCACCCAAAAAACACCGAAATTTGCATAAATTTCAAAAACACTCCCTCGTTCCACCGCAAATAAAATTTCCATGGTAAACGAAAGCGAGATTTACCGTCGCTTATGTTAATCTCGAAGAAGACTTCTTATCAATAAACTAAAACCCGGAAAAACTAGACCAACAGTTTGCGACCGATTGCTAAATAAAACAGTGGAGTACATCAACGTACCCGCCGCAATCTAGCGAGTTTTGTCGTGGGTACATATACGTGCCCACCGCACGGAAAGGGTTAAGAAGGTTTTTTATCTTTATTGTCAAATTTTGATACTGATATTTGAATTTTCATATAAAATAAAATTGGTATTCAAGTTAGGAATTCTATATATATCATTTTCTGTAATGTTCATGTTTCAGCCACGTAAAGGTATTTTTATTCTCCACTACTTGATGCTTTATTTTGATGCATTATCAGGGTAAAATAGGATTTTCCTGTTTATCCCAGGGGAGAGTAAAGGTGGTTTAATCATAGAGCAAACCACATCCGCTCATACGCTTACCTGTCTATGTCGAGTATGGGAATAGTTAACCAATTAATTGTTTCAGATGAATGTATTTGCATCTTTACTTATATGGACCATTCAGAACAAGTTTAGTCAATATGAAAACCGCTTTCTCATAATTTGAATATATATTGCGCATATTGTAGGGATGTGTCATTTTTTACAACGATTTTGTTCATGTGGCTTTTCCTATGGGTAAAGCTGACAAATAAACTATGCCTGGTGTGCCATAAACATAGAGTAACGTCTTATAGTACTGCTTGATACATGACAGGAAATGGTTTACGTAACGTTGCTCTGCGTCGACGGCGATATTTAGTCACCATATCCTGCCGTGAATCACGACTATTGTACATTTTGATATTTTTTACATTGCCAAGCAAGACTTATTACTGTATAATTTTCATCTAGGTAGTCTTCTGTTGTTTTTTTCAGTCTGATACTTTCTTAAGAATGTTCTTGCCAGTTTGTTCTTGTATCTAGAGGAACTGATTTGAAAATGATACTTTAAACATTTGGGAGTTACCGGTAGGTTGCGTTCAAGCATCAGCTTCAATCTCGACCCAATTCAGTTAATTACCAAATTTTCTGGAGGATTGTATTCAATTTAACAGCTCAATCATATTTTGGACATGGAATTATCAGCAATGGTATAAAATGTCTTTTTTATAGAGGAAGTCATTTTTTTGATATTCTCATTGATATGATAATTTTGTTTAATATTAATTTAAGGTCGTCTGTACTATTTTTGTATCATAATGAAATAATGGAACATGGCATAAGTGCTATATATTAACCAAGGAAGCAAATCCTGTATTTTCATGCATATCTGGTTGTGATGGCAATCTTACAAAGTTTCTTCTTTATATAGGCCTATGATTAGAATATTTTTTATAGTATGGGTATTGCTTTGTTCAATAGAGGTGGTACTATAAGTGAATGGATTATTGTGTTATCATTTGACAGTTATTCAATTCAGGAAATGCTGACCTTTGTTTAAAATCTTTATAAGCAATTGTAATGAGCCAAACAATCACTTGACTGCATTAATGCCCTTTTCACCGGATGGTGTTACTGTTTCTCATGGACATAGTATTAGTAAACTTCACTAGTTTCCAAACTGTATTATTTTAGACTTTTATGTTATTGGGTTTTATACTGTCATTCAAATAGTGATTGGGATCTTATATTCATCCCTATATGCATAATATGCATATGCATTTTTGTGATTTCTGCCATGTTATGTCTTAATAATTTCAAATTTCAAAATCAAAACGTGTTGCGCAAAGGAATTTTAGAATATTTGACTATTCAGGTAAAGATACTTTGCCTTAAGATTACCAGTTATGCTATTCTTGTACTGTTTGCATCATGATTTCCAATGGAGATTATTGAACATAGTTTATAAATAGTATCAATCAATTGAAAAGGTGCATGTAAAGTTTTCTTTGAGAAAATTCTAATTCTATCGTCATCTTGTTTACATTTGTTTAATCGATCAATCATAGTAAAATCTTGACTCAGTTGAACTTTGTATTTGCCTATGTTCTAATCTGAGTATGTCCCATTTATGTTGTTTAATAGGGCAACATTGTCCAATGACCTGTAATAGTCCTTTGCTATCAATTGTTTGCAGATTAACTTATACACATCACTGTTGAAAAAATATTGTTAAATTCACCTATATATTCTAGTCATTTAGATATGAGCATATTTCAAAATAAACACTTTTGTGGGCTTGGTCTGTGATTATATGGTTATTAGAAAAAATTGTTGAATCAACTTTTAGCTATTTTTTTACAGGCATCTTTCAAAATAAACACTTTGTGGCTCCAAATTATTATGTAATTGCTTGGGCCATAGAAAAATAAATTTATTGTCACATGTCATCTATAGACAATTTAGTTCAATACATATTTATTCCCTAATTTCTATCACCCAATAACTTAACTGAAAATTCCAGTATATTGTCTGGAATTTTTTCACAGTATATATATTTTTAATCATGCATTATGTATATTTCTAAGATGTCTGTATCAATGCAATATCACCTGCATGCAGTCACGGGGGAGCAAATATTTGCCTAAAATAGTTGGATACACACAATTGCATGATTAAATTACATCATTTAACTTTTACTGTCATGTAAGCCGGTGGGCGGTGATAGCCGGCTTCAATTTTGGTATTCTGGTATAGTAACCAACAGCATTTAGATTTTCTTCTGGTTAGCAATAAATGAAGACGAAGATTTAGTTTGCTAGTTTGTTTCATGTATTGTTTTTGCATTAAGGAATCGAATATTCAGATTTAGGTATATATGAGAAAGTTGAGCGTTCCAGAAATTTCTCCTAAATTCATTTCAGTTCTAAATATTATAGATTTATACATCAAGCAACAAAATATCATTTGGTTTATTTCATGCATTCATCAAACTTCACGAAGTTTGTTTTAATCAAACTGGTTATTTTGTTATATAAAAATATCCAAAAAACTTTTTGTTTTGTTTTGTTTCAGAAATGATTTCTATTTAAAATGGCAGTCAGTATTTCTAAATTTAAAAATTGATATGCTTTTTATATTTTTATATATGTATATTTTGTTATATTCAAACTTCACTTAGTCTGTATGTAATCAAAGCTTGCAGACTCTGCACACTCTGAGATAGTTTTCATTATTTCATAACAATGTTTACAAAGCGGTTATTACACTTTGACATAGTGTTCACCTTTTTCAGTAAAATAATTTATTAATTACTAGATGTCGTAAGAATAGGATGCTTCTCATTTGACGAAATGTTTTTGGTTGGCCTACGATTAGTTGACATTGTGTTTTTGGTCGATGAAGTTATTGTTCTTGAAAAAATTTTTCAGTTGATTCTGAGGTTAATTTGAAGCTGGTATGCTGATTATTTGGTAATTTTACTTTTAATTTAATTTATCAAAGAACATCTTATCAGCTCAACAAAAATTGATTCAGATGGAATGCCTACAATAGATAAAAAATTTGAATTACTTTTAGAGTTGAATTACTATTTTAAGTTCTTGATTTTGTGGATATTTTTATTTGAAAATCATCATTTTGAGCAATTGAATTGTTGCCAAAAAAGATATAACCAAAAATGCTTTTTAAAAACCATAACTTATAATTAATAGCCTACTTTTCTCCAGTACATATAACGAGCATAATATTAGACTGCCAATATCATGATTGATGAAATATTAATTGCAAACAAGATGTTAGCACGTGAATTGGTTTATTCATTAATAAGTGAATTAGTTGATTCTGTGGCAAACATAAGCCCGAGACAATGGTCAACATGCAAATATGTCAGCAATGCATTTTCGACAACTGATTTATGGCTTGTTAAGAAGTATTTTGTTCATAAACTTTTTCTTGTACATAATAACGAGCGTATATTCACTTACAGTATTATGATTAATGATGCAATATATAATTTGAAAACGAGGCTATTGCGTTAATTGGATTATTCATTAAGTAAATAACGAGTTGTCTTTAAGTAGACTTAAGGATTAATCATGCAATTGCAGCAAAGAAATGGAAACTTTTTTCTCGGAGAACACCTGGTCATTATATATTTTATTTTCAACAGGACTTTAAATACAATATTCTAAGTTGATACAATATGTCATTTGGAAGACTTGCAGGTAAAGTTGCTCTTGTAACTGGTGGGGGTAGTGGTATTGGTAAAGCAGTCTGCAAAGTTTTTGCAAACGAGGGAGCAAGTGTTGCAGTTTTGGATGTAAATGGTGATAGTATTTTAAAAACTGCTGAATCTTTATCACGAAACCATGGCAACACACATTGCGCAATTCCTCTTGATGTCACCTCTCAAGATCAAGTTAAAAATTCAATTAAAACTGCAGAAGAAACACTTGGAAAGAAAGGAGATGTGCTTGTAAATAGTGCTGGTATTATTAGAGACAATTTACTTTTAAAAATTAACGGAATCTCAGTTTGATGATGTACTTAATGTGAATCTGAAAGGTACCTTTTTGATGGCACAAGAATTTGCCAGATCATTGGTTGAAGGGGATCATAAGAGACCTGGATCAATTATAAACTTATCAAGTATCGTTGGAAAGACTGGAAACATAGGACAAACTAACTACGCTGCTTCAAAAGCTGGTGTTATTGGTTTGACGAAGACGATAGCGCTCGAGTTCGGAAAGTATAACGTTAGGTGTAATGCTGTTTTACCTGGTTTTATCCTAACTCCTATGACTGAGGGAATTCCAGATTTAATTATTGAAAAACTAGAAGGAAGCATTCCACTCAAGCGAAGAGGCAACCCAGAGGAAGTAGCAAATGTTTGTCTATTTTTAGCATCAGATGAGAGTTCTTATGTGACTGGTACTTGCCTGGAAGTTGCTGGTGGATTAGGGGTTTAGGATATTGTTGCAATTTGACATCAACTCCTGTAATTTCAATTCGAATTTATCTAGATTCTAATTACCTCAAAATTTGTTATCATGACTGTCATAGTAAATTTAAAAGTGAATCCAGGTTCAGAAAATTTTGTTTTGCCCATTGACTCTGAATTGAAAACAATGGCTTTGATTTTGACTCCCGATTCTGAATTGAAAGGTTTTAAAAGGCTGTCGCTAACAGGCAATGGATTTGAGCTTGCCTCTGGTACAACCAGTGCTTTGAATTAAAATTTTTGGACTTTAGTGCTAACATACAAATGATTTATTTAGTATTGCAATATAAAATCTATATTAATAACTAGTTCTGTTGGTCATCCATGCTTTTGGTTTATCATTAAGGTATTCCCTTAGTATGTGAACCCAGATGGCGGACACCGAAACGAAACGTAGTATGTGTACCAGGTTAGGGTTAGGCAATTATTTCAAGTACAAAATACTACGGGAGTCACTTGGCTAGTCCCCGACCTCGTAAAATAGAAGGTGAAAATGTTGAAAATTTGGAATCAAATTATGGCCTAACCTAACCTGGTACCACATACTACGTTGCGGTGTCCGCCATCTTGGTTCACATACTTCGGGACTACCATAATTGATAAGATGTATTTTCGAAAATGAGGTTATAATGAGATGCAATACTATATTATCAAATTATATCTGTCATTTCCTTTTATTTTTGTAACATAAAAAAACATTTAATTTAAATTTTTAGGAAGATAGGTACCGTAATTTTGAGAAAGATTTTATCACTGTATTATTAAAATGGTTTGGAATGATGTTGTGGTTCCTCTCCTCTATGATTGTTAGTTTATTTTCTACTTTTTTCATTGTGCCATAAAATTAAACTTTGATGTTGGGGTTGTTTATTTTGATTTGTTATTTTAGTAACTAAATTATGGTAGTTATGATTTCAATTCTCATTTATCCCAAAGTGCCATCATGAAAAATTATGGAATTTTTGCAAATTGGGAAAATATGATCTATTATTTTAAAATTTATGGGTGTAGTTGTCTTCATGCAAAATTCAGGTTGAGATTGGAATTCTTACTTTGTCTTATAGTTTAATTAAACATGTTTGCGCTATTATTATTAGTATCTGCAGTTGAAGATGACGGTATTACAAAATGTATTTGATATTATATATTATTTCAGTTTCTTTTTGGTGAAGCCAATTATTTGATTTTCCAATTTTGGTGAAAAATGAAAAAAAATTCTTAAAATGAATTGAAACCTATGCAGATTCTGATGATGTAGTGCAGACATTATGATTCTTTTCACGTTATCAAATTTATAGAAAATCAGCCTTTTTACGTTTCTCATTACAATCTAAATATAGGAGCAAAATGAAAGATTCTAAACTTTAACAGATTTTCAAAATTACTATTTTGTGCAATCTGTAATTATAATGTTGCACTTAATTTATTTTTACAGTTATATTAACGTTTTGATTAATATTTTATTAACTTCATATCTTGTTACTAACATGGACTAAACGTAGAATTGGGAAATCATACTATTCCAGGTTATTACCTCACAGTATGTTGCTGTAATAATAAAAGAATAATAAGTGCGGTAAGAAAGGTTATTATTTTTATGATTGCTAACAATAAACCACTAGTTTCGTTATGGTAACGGTTTGGTTTTCTGCTGAAATATTTTTGATGCATGTAATGCGATGACCTTATACTGTATTTCTAAAACTTTCGTGGTCCGCGGCCCCCTTTCAAAGACTATCAACATGTGTCCCCCTGTTCTTCTATAAAAATACCTAGTTGTTTTGCTTCCAAGGCATGTCCACCAATTATTTCATGCGACATGTTTAATGACAGAAAATTCGAGAACAAATAAAAAAAATGTGTTGTAGTCAAAGAATCAACCAAGCCACAGTCGATTTTCTTTGAATTAATGTAGTCCTTAATGCAGTCCTCGCCTAGTTAATGCATTGGCCACCAGAGAGCCACTCCTTGGGCCACGAGGAGGGCCAAGGCCCCATTCGAGAAACTCTGGCCTAATGCTGAAAATCTTAAGATAGCTTATTTGGCATCTATAGATATCTTGTTCTTGTTCTTGTAGTTTTTTTGAATTTTCCCAAATGGTGAAGGTTCCAGGTCCAGTTGCTTTTTATTAAGTGCATGCATACATTTATTCTAAACAAGACTATCGCTAGTTCGCTACATTGGAATTGTCGATTAAAACCAGCAATTCATTTTCATATGAGGCATTGATAATTTATGCCAGTAATTGTAAAATTGATTTATTTTGTTATCTGGTATAAATCAAAAGCATCATTTCTAGAAGTAACTTTCTCGATACTCGTATGCTTATCCACATTAAACTCAAAAGAGATTGAGGTCAATAAAGGAATAAGAACTGTAGTTTAATGTACTTTTATCAGGTTATCTGCTTACTGTATGTGTAAAGGCTTCTACTTGACTTTTTCCTGACATTACTAATACTGGTTATTTATATGGTTGACACAGTGTACTGATTAAGCAAGAAACACCTACAGTCACTTGAGAAAGTTAAATAGATGATAGATACTGAACAGTATCTAAGTTTGGAATCTCCTTAATCATGTTTGATTTGGCAATTTGACAAAAAAGGAAAACATTGAACTTACCCAACACAACTTGATTTCATATATATCTTGTCATTACAGAAAACTAACCTTCAAAGAAATGCATAATCATGGAGAATGGTTCCACAACAAATCCTTGTTTGCTGAAGTTTCCGGTTACACTGAAGTTTTACTCGCCTTGCTACAAAATGCATTTGATAGAAGGTATGTCTTATGTACAATTTTTATTTTAAATACTTCTTGTTGGTTATCTTCACTGTGAATTTCTTACATTAAGGGAGAGCATCAGATCGCCTAAGCACTCAAGTGATCTTTCACGTCCGACTTCGGCTGGAAAGTCGACAAAAAACAAAAAAGATGTTCCTCCGATATCATTGGCTATGCAATTAGTATCTGCTACAGCAGCTTTTTACCAAGAATGTAAAATCACAGATGACCAGCAGAGATATTATAATGAAGGTATTGGATGGAAAATTCTGTATCAATATTCTGTAACAATTTTTTGGCCAGTAATTTTAAGCTTTTTATTATTGGATATTAGCCAAAACCTTGGAAATTATTATTCGGCATTTGGCGTTTGATGTAGCAAATTTGTTTGCTTTTGTGAACTAGATGAGTTTAGACATTACATGGTTCAGTCTTCTTCGATTTCTATGAATTGTTGACCCGTTTCAGTTTATTTGTTAGCTGTTTGGAACAGTATTGTGGAAAAAGAGTTTGGCAAGTTTTAATGGGTATTTGAGTCACTGTTGGTGTCTTATCTTTAAACTTTTTAAATTGCAGAATATGAATTCTAAATGCTAATCGAAGTCGAAATCTTTGACTAAAACTTAAAAAGCATTCAAGTTCACTAAACATTCTTATTAACAGACAATTAATGAGGAAAGTTCGCATACACTAAAATTTTTGTTATCACATTTTGATTTTCTCTTTATATGGGACTTGAAGACAAAATTTTTGTCAACTTAGGTGTTGGAGTTTATTTTATTTTCATGATTTAAAGTTTGGTGTAAATGTTACCCACGCAGCTCTTGGTTTAGAACAAGTTCTCTATGATTCCTTTATGTATTTGCTTCATCAAAATTTTAAATGCTTATTCAACTTCTAGAAAATGATCGAATTGTTGGAAAGATTCCACATGATGCAACACATTTTGACAACGAGTTACTTGGACATGTTAGAACTTTGATTATACGAGCGATTATTTCTGTATGTTCGGCAGCATTGGAAGAAGAGTCAAATATAGAGGTGAGTGTCTCAGATGAGTTTTGGACTCTTCATTGAGAAGGAAAATTATAGGCCAATTAGTTTTTCTATATCTGAAGTTGGATTTTTAACAAACAGTCTATTTATTTTTTGAAATTTAGTAACCTAAATTATTGTGTCATGTCATTGAAGACTATATTTCAGCAAACAATATATGTGGCTGCAAACTTTTATCATCCAAGTATGTGGTATACCATATTTTATATTTCGTTAATTTTTACCTTCTGTTCAGGAACTCAGCCAAGGTCACATTGTTCAATCAGTAATACAATCATCGAAAAGTCTTCTTCAAACTGGAGGTTTTGCTGCACTGGGTAGTAATAGTTATTACGATACATATTTTTATACCAGAAATTCAAATTCAATTTCACATATTTTTGATTATAAAACTAGGAAATACCCTGTGATTTTGGGTTTATCACTGAGATGGCCAAAACGGAATATTCCACTATGCCGAATACATTCTGAAGAAATATTTCCGAATAGAGTTTTGAATACATTCTAAATTGGGAGCAAGTTGGAAAATAACATAAATCCTACATCTTAATGTTTATCACATTTGAAAAGACACAAATGTCATTGATTTCTCTGTGTTGTTTATTACCAGTTGTAGTTGACATTTTGTATGTCTTGATCTGCTTGTCTGATGGCTTAAAATTTATAATATTTGAATAAAAATGTTCTAATTTATTTCTAAATTCAAAATTATACTATATCGAATACATTGAATTTTGAATGTATTCGAATATTCGATTTGGACATTCTACAGAGTGAAATTAGACATATGTTATAATTTTGCTTTCAAATATGTATACATATAAAATAATCCAAATTCAATTTACTTGCCCCGCATCATTTCAGAATATCAAACTATTGGAACTTGATGATTTTAGTGATGTTGTCTTCCTTGGTAAATGGCATTTATGAGCAATATGACTGTACTTGTCTACCACACTTGTTTTAAATGAATATAACATATTTTGTTTTTAACTGTGAAAAGTAAAAGGTGAGAGATGCATAGCAAAAATGTATCTTCGGCAATACTTGTTGCCCTTAGTTTCACTTTACAATTTTCAATTTTGAACATTTTTAGACGATCAGTCATCAGTTACAAATGGACATGACAAGTCAACTCCACAAGTTGAAATATCTGCTTCTACTGATAGAATCTCAGACATGTTGTTGTCAGAAATAAATGAAATTGTTTACAAGACTCTCAAAAAATTAATGCATATCATTTCAAACTCTGTGAATCCTGTTACTAAAAATTCAAGTCAGATTACTGACGTTGTTTCCTTGCTGCAAGAATTCGACAGATGTGGGGGATATGATGTTTTAGAACAAGTTTTTTGCAAGATTGCTGGAAAGTTGACTCCAAATCATCATGGTTTGTATATTTTATCTCAGTTTGACTAGTAATCGTTCATTGATTCATCAACAGAAAAAAACTATGGAAACTAGTTATATCCGAAATCAATTAGGATAGGATTTTTTTTCCTATATATCCTGGGAGAATGAACCCAATAAAACGACTCAATCATACAGCGAATCTGGTATTTGTTTACCAGTCTTCTTCTTATTACACATTGACTGGTGCTCCAGAAGTATGTGTACCAATATGGAGGTAACTAATTTAGTTCGCTTACTCTACATCAAGTTGTTTGAAGGGACGAAAGATTATGTGCAGGGGTATATTCATTTGGCTAACACAAACAGTCCCCAAACTCGTAATAGAACTAAAATGAGGGAAATTGGAATAAAATTACGGCCTTACCCCAACCTGGTACACATACTACGGGAGTACCCATTGACTTATCAGCAGAAAAGCCATAGAAACTAGTTAAAATCAAGACAGGCTTTGCATGGGTTTTTCATTTTAAATATTCTTTCAAGATATTCCATAGATTTCGTTTCACTTGTTTTATTATTCTCGTTTACAGGTGCGGAAGGCAGACCTGTGTCACCATTAGTTGCTAAATCTCCAAAGAACTACGAATTACAGCCATCACCATTGGGAAGTGCTAATGAACTTGTTACTGGTTCTGTGAGGCATAGGCATCCATCATCCACACAATCAAAACTAGAACTAAAATTACGATCATTGTTGAAAACATTCGAGGAAATGTTTAGAGTCACAAAACGCTCTAAAACTGAATACATTCACAAAGTTACTTGCCAGAAAAGATCACATCGACATTGCGACTTATCGCTCACTCTCCATCAGCATCATGATATTATGGGACTGGGTGTATCAAAATATGCAAACTCAACAAAATCGATTGAAAAAGTTCAAAACAAATCACGATGGAGTGTTCACGGGCCGTCGTGGGGATCTGAGTCACCTAAAAAATCTAAAAAGAAGCATAAAACGAGATCTCAAAAAGATGAGCCTCCACCTTTATGTACTGTGGCACGAGCAATCTCATTTCTGTTGGATCGACTATACCCCAATCATAAGTCTTGTACTAAAATTATCTTGACAAGTGTGGATAGATCGGAACATGCCATTGTGCTAAACCAAGTACAATATTAGTGCCTTTGCTTTCTTCGATTTCCAACTTTCCTCCAAATGTTCATGATGTGATATTGGCAACTGTGGGAAGAATAATTCTTCAGCGAATGAATACAATCTCTGGGAAAGAGAAATCTGCTAGGTATTTATGATATAAATTTGCATAATGTGGTGCGCTATGTACTGTATTTGAGTAGGGTACCATACATTTTTGTGCATCCATTATGTCAGGGCCATATGGGTATGGCAGTTTTGGCACCATCTAATTTGGTGTCAAATAAATTTGTCCTAACGAATAAAATTACATTACAGTAAATCCGTTATAATTGTTGTTTTATGATTTTATGAACTGCCAAATGTGGATGTCCAATAGTCTGTCTTATTCTGAAAGGCAGTAGCTTGATCTTTCAGTTTTGGCTTAACCCACCCAATCTTTACCTCTGGGTACTGGACCTGATAAGTTTAAGGGTTTGAACCCAGTTGTATGGGGATGTATGTAACTGTCATGATTAAATTTTAGAAGTCAATCTTCTGTACATTTCCAGTTTTAAACGCAATATTTGAATTTAGCAATCATGTTCGCCATTGCAGAGCGTATTAAGTGCACATCACTTACAGTTTTTGGTTTGTTTGATTGGTTAGTTACACGTCAACCTGCATACTGTCAAATATTTGTCTGGCAGTAATTTCAATGATGCCTCTTCAGCTTCCAATGCCCTCCTGTTTTTATTACCTCTTTGATTAACTGATATTATGAACAGCTTATTTGAGCATTCTTACTCTGATACCTTTCATTCATTTTTTTATATCTCATTTTTTTTTTTTGTGTGTTTTTACAACTTGACTGAGAACAAGGCTCTGCATAGGCAGCTACCGGTACTTATTATACATAAATAGCTATTGAAATACTGGGATCTTCCCGACTCGGCTACCCATTTTTTTTGCATCATTGGTGAGCTGATAGGTATCTATATGATTTGAACTAATGACCTTTAACCTGTGACACCAGTTTAGATAGATTTGACTGGTAATTGGCCGTGGTTCGCCATATGATTCAGTCATTTAGTCGTCGTCCCCCCCCTCCCCCCCCCCCCCCCCCTCCCTCCCCCGCCCACGCCCCCCCCCCCCCCCCCCCCCCTCCTAGTCCTAATAGGCTATTCAGAAATTAATTTTTGGACACCTCACAAAATTTGTCAAGTTGTAGATTGAGAATGTTATCTATCATTGCCAAGTTGTATTATATAATATTTCTAGAAAAGAAGAAAAACTAGTTACACTGGAGCTACCACTGACATTATCAACTGTGAAAAATATTGAACCAGACAATGATGATGTGACAAAGATTCAACGAATTAATCCATTCAATTTGCCAGATTCACCGAAGCATAAAAGGTATGATAAATGAAACATTAATCAATTTGAATTTTTTACACTGACTTCTACGCACTACTTTTGGGGTAAAAAATATGACTCTGTCTATGACTGCCAAATTTGTATTCTGATTTCACATCTCTACTTGCTGTTGAAGAATCACAATATTGAGACACATCTTATCCCATTAACATTTATGATCAATTCATGTCCATATGATTGAGCATCGCTCTCTTGTTATAGATACCATCCTTGATATTCGGCAATAATCACTGTGTGAGGCAATCAATAACTATGGCTTCATTTTTAACTCCATTTTGTATCTGATGACAAGTCTTCTAAACAGTTTTCGGGTCTATCGAAGTAAATGCCATAATTCCTTAAATAACGCCAAACAAAAAAGTGATGTGAAATTACCGCCGCAACGGCTTGAATAGCACCAAATAGAAGTATGACTTGAAATTTTTATGATTTAAAAAAAATCTGTCTGGTACGGAATGAAATTCTTGACAGATGCGTTTAGTTATAATAAAACCCACTCAATTTTCAACTAAGCAGGTCAGGTACTGGTATGTCCGATGGCAAATAGTGTATATCGTTTCCGGTAAGACTGACTTTCATTTAAAAAAAAAATTTGGGCAGTAACTTTACATCACATCTGTGTTTGGCGTGATTTAAGCACTTGTGTCGTGTACTTCTTTAGACCCCAGTTTTCAACACATTTTGCATTTTAGTTTCAACAGTCCGTCAAAGTATCCTGTGATACCGAATTCTTTGCAATATGAAAGAGTACTGAATGAATATGAAGATTTTACTTGGCTGTGTCTCGCTACATACAGAGACTTGATTTTACCACAGAATGATTTACCTGGAGAAAATTCTGGGTTTGTTTAAATTTTTGGGGCAAATTTGTTTCAGATGTTTTCCTTGTCACTTTCTTTGAATAAGGATCCATACGAGCAGCCAATAATATGCAAGGAGCTGATATATTTTGGAAGGATCACGATATTTCTAGTGTGGCATTGCTTATCTAATTCATACCACCAGTGGATCCCAAATTTTGTTCGTTTGGTGCCAAATTGTCAGGGAAAAAAATCATCAAAAAAATTGCTGCCTCTGAATAAGAATAGATTTTGTGATTGTAACAGAAGACTATGTATTTAAAAGTAAATAACGTAGAAATGTAAAATGAATTTATTGATTAATATACCCAGCAATGAAAACGAGAAACAATAAAACATAATAAACACAGTATGTAAAATATTCTATTATATATTAGATATGTTTAACACACTTCTGATAATTTTCGGGGTGCACTTAGCAAACCGCTGCGGCGCACTCTCTGGGAACCACTGCATTACACCTTGCTTGTGAGAGTAAGTCTGACTTAACCAGAATGAAAATGTGATAAGTATAATGTAAGATGGTTTATACCAGGGGTGTGCCACATTTAACCCTGGAGGGCCAGATACAAATACCTGAGTGAACCGCGGGCTGCACCTTTATTTAACATAGGCTTTGTAGTAGTTGCAGGCACAAATATTTTGGTTATTGATCCTATGACTTGCGTTGTTCGCTTCACACAAGCTAGCAGTTAGAGCATTGTAACGTCATAGACATAGATAATAAATTGGACTCTGGTATAGGCTTTGCAATGCAAAGGGATTATCACCCGCACATACCAGATTAAACTAAATTAAAAACTTGTTTCGCCGGCCGCAAACCATTGAAAGTTGGCACTTTTCTGCGGGCCGCACAATTTTTACTTGTGGTCGGTTGCAGGCCGCATTCGGCCCACCGGCCATAGGTTGCCCACCCCTGGTTCAAACCACTCGACAATTTTTAAATTAGATTATTTCCAGAGAGTGATTAATAAAATTTACTTTACATTTCAGGCAAATGTCTTCACAAGAAAAGCGGATTTCTCTTTCTATAAAAGTAGCATCTCATCTGTCCACGATATCACAGCATTTTGATCTCGATCCATTGCTCAATCTTATAACAACGGTCATTCTTCCTGTGTTACGAGCTTCAACAGGACTAAGTCCTAGAGGTTCTCAATCAAGTCCTACGAGAGGAAGGTAATGACAACCCTGATATATGTAATGTAGAATATTTTACGGACCACAAGGTTCAACGTCAATAAATTGCTTAGATTGGGACACACTGGGTTATAAGACGCAACAGTTTTTAAGGAGTATTGGTTATTGTATTTTCCCTGAAGAAAATGTAAAGCGGCGGGACAAAAATGAATTGAAAGTGTGCCTCATGGTTCATAAAATATGATATACTTAATGCATTATTTTTATGCATTTGACTTCGGGTGGCAATTCAGTTGTAAGCTTCATCCTAAATCCAAGGCATAAAACATTTTTAATAGCAATTTTTATGGATGCAACAACTCTAATTACAATGCAATCTGATGCATTGGAACAGTTAGGAATGCAAATCGCATATTGTCATTTGGTATAGGAAAAAGCAATAAAAATTGCCTAAATTTATTTGAATATTCATAGAAAAATTTTTTAATTGTAAAATTTTTATACTTTTTTGTTCAGGAAACATCGGGAAAACTATCTTGAAAATCGAAGTTCCGACTCGCCTAGGAAAAGATTGCATCATAAATCTTCTATCCATCCACAGATTATTATTCATTGTCTGGAGATCCTGAAATATCATTTTGGTCGTAGTTCTGACGTTCGGAAAATGTTTATTCGTCATTCAGGAATCAGGCCTCTGACAGCTCTTTTATCAAGACGACAAAATATCAGTATTTCTGTTCAACAGGAAGCAAGACATGATTTATTACTGAATGTTATATCAAAAGAAGCATCTTCCGCATTGACATTTCTATTGAGTAATGCTACATCGCTGTCACCGGATGCAAGAATCCTTTATCTACATGAGAATCTTGATGAGGATGTAAAATCTCCTAGAGAATCTCCCAGGATGAAAAGAAAGAATAATCCTGAAAATGAAGATTCTGGAATGCTTCAAAGCATTATGAGAGGATTCTCACCACTGAGAAGCATTTCTCCTAAACAGAAACGTAGGTTGTCTCCTTTTCGCTCTAAGAATCCCTCAAATGAAGATGCTGGAGGAAGATGTTATTTTTCTTGGATGGAACAGAATATTGATGAAGTTGTAGTCCTCCACTCTGACATCCATTACTTTTTATCACATATTCTTCAAGAGTTTTCCGAACTGACATCTGAGGACGATGATCTCTCAGAAGGAAATTCAGAGTCTGAAGACACCACTCCTGGTTTGATCGCTGCTCCAGCAGGATCATCAGACACAACTGGATACCAGAGTAGAGATTCTAGCTTACCATTCAATAAACCTACTCTAGAAAATGATGCATCCTCATCAGATGATGATGACAGTGTCCTAAATATTGATTTCGACGGAATAATTCTTCCAGTCGATGATTCAAACAGAATGCAAATCATTTGCGATTATTCCGCTCTTTTATCATCTGTTTTACAAGACAACATGGAAGCTAGAAATGCTTTTATGAAGTTAGATGGACCAGAGATGACTTTGCGTCTTCTTACTCTCGTTACCACATCTTTAATCCCCACGAACGCTAGGTTAGATTTTACGACAGGATCGAGTGAAACTTCATCAATTAAATCGTTTCTTCAATCTGTAGAAGAACAGTCAAAATCTAAAGTTCTCTCTACACCGACTACTTTACAAACAAACTTGCAATCTTACGACTCAGAAAAATTAGTATCATCTGAATATAAAGATGTAACACCCAAACAAGAATCTTCTAAGTCGAGTGGTGATAAGGAAGTTAGTTTTATGCAAGATTTAGTTCATGATAAAGTCTCTGATGATGATACTACACGTAGCATGGCTATGAAATTTCAACTTCTCTCCTATACATTAAGCATATCACTTCTATCTTTTCAGGTAGGATGGGCGACATTTTATCTTTTAGGTTATTTTGAAGGATTCTTTACATTAGAACAGTGGTTTCCTTACTATGCATATCATCTTTAATAGAAAATTATATACATGAATCACACAAATGCTTTTGTACAGTTTGTGTGCGTAAATAACCATTATAGTAATGATAATAAAAACATAAAGAATTGTTGTACTACAGCAAATGGTAAACAAAGTTCCTTCCCAAGAAATACCGAATTCCTTCGCAGTCGGGAAACGTTGCATAAAAATGAATATAATACCTTGAATATTACTTGTTTGCTGTTTTAAAATATCGCAGAAATGGTTAGTAGTTACATCGGATTTCGAAACTACAAAGCCGTCATACTTAGAACCATATTATTTGCCCATCCTATTTAACCATTTGTGGATGGGTGCTTATATTTGTTCACCTCCTTAATTCTCAGTTGTAAAAGTACCTTTTAAATAATTTTTTTAAATTACTGCTTTATTTTTGTAGTGATCTTTTTAAAGGTTTTATTGAATTTGTTTAAAGCCTCAATATTTTATATTGTTTGTGGCTGATTGTTGGTGTTCCATCGCATGTTGGACACAAAATAGTAATTATCACCATTTCTGTATTTTTTTTTAGAATGACATCACAAGTGATGATATTATCAGTACGTTGAAACCGCTAATACAACAAAGTCGATTGACTGCAACAAAATATTGTCATAGCTTGTGTAAATCATTATTTGAAGCTTTAGTAGAAACTGAACAACCAAATTTGGAATATACCAGGTATGTTTATTGGGTAAAGTATTTTACAGACCATAAAGACTGTCTATAAATTGCTTAGATTGTGTTTTTCTTCATACATAAGGCTCATTGCGTTATAAGACGCAACAGTTTTCATTAAAGCAATACCTGTTCTGGTTTCAAATGTATGCAATAAAGCACTGAACTATACATTAGGCACACTATCGATTTTTGAGAAAAAGTAACTATATACAATTATGGAGTTACAGTATACACTAGTAAATGTTGAATGAAATCTGACTTTAGCAGCGCAAGTGAATACGATTAGGAAGGCAGCTGTGAAGTAGTGAAGTTATAATATTATTATATAAACTTTTTTTTTTTTTTCAGTATCAATTCCACAATGTCATCCTTGAAACAGCAAATGTTATCGCCACGAAAGTCGACTCCTTCACCCGGAAATTTACAGAAAGAAAATTCTCTCTTATTTTTTCCCGCTGATTTTTCTTCTACCGGAAGATTCTCTTCTCCAGGAGGAAGAGATTCTCTTGAATCTGTAGATTTGAATTTGTCAGAAGCAGATGATTCTTCCTCTGTTTATGACATGATGTTGAATATTGATCGAGCTCTCGGATCAGATGAAGAGAGTTCGAACACGGATGGTTACCAAGGCGACTCAGAGTCTGATAAACCTGGTTAGTGAAGAAGTAATATTATATTCCATCATTGAGTTTAATATTTTGTAAATTCCATATTCTATATTACATATTTATGACCTTAAGTATTATAAACCGAGCTAACACAAAAAATTTGGTTGTTTTTTTTGTTCAGAAATTCCATTCACTCCTTTGAGTGGCAGAGGCGCAACATCAACTCCGGATCAAGAGGTCTTAGTTAACAGAGGAAAGATAGTCAATCCTAAACTAACTTGTCTTATGGTGCAGTTACTCGGCGATGCTGGTAAGTTTTATTCTGGAACAGTGGGGGATGGGATTGGAATCCAAAAGCAGAGAGTTCACAAATGGAGTATAACTTCGTAATCGAATTTAGTTCTACCGTAATTGTTAATAAGAATCTTAATACAACCAAATACTCCAATCAGTTATTTGTAAAATAACATAACAATGCAACAAGTGTGGCATGCACTTTGAACATCAGCCATTGGCAGTTAATAATGTACATCATCTCAAGATCAGCAGAATGACTTACTTAAATGTATTTATTTCTAATCTCTGACGAAGGAGGCAGAAGAAGGAATGTTAAGCTTAGTATTAAATATCCTTCATACTTTCTGCGCATAATGACGTAGTGAATCACATTGAAGTTGTTCTTTAAGCCTTCAATGCCATATAGGCCCTAGCTCTAGTTCCAAACTCATTGTCTTCAATAACTGGTATATATTGGCCGAACTTTATTACAAAATGTACAGGTGATTCAATAGCAAAGGCTTCGGAGCGCCAACAAACATTATCTGCTCAGACCAGCATAATAACTCACGGTGGTAATTTTTATATTTTTTTTATTGAATTAATTTTTTAAATATTTCGAGACTCTTATATCAGCGCTTTTTATTCTATTTTCAACTTTCATGATCTGTGGACCCTTGCTTCTCAACACTTCGTGGCCCTCTGCTCCTTGATGAATAAAAATCCTTGTATTGTTTTTAACAACTTTCTTTCAGCCATTTAAGGACAACTGTTGACAGCTAGTCCGAGGTGGTGGCGCATCTTTCTAGGAGTTAGGAATACAGTCGTCATACCGCACCTCTGATTACCCTGCGTGGGTTTGCAGATTGGAGTCCCATGAAGGGTTGATTATGCTAGACTGTAGGGATATCATATCCCTATTCTATCCTAATGTATGTTTTTCATTTCAGAACACACTGACAACATTCGAGCAGTTCTGCATACGATCACTTCATTGCTAAAATATTCAAGAGAAAATTTAGATAAAATGTTATCTGGTTGTGACTTTCCACTGGCATGTTTAGAATCTTTTAAAGGACATTCTACAATTTAACAATGAAGAAGAAAAAGGTAATGATAATAATTCTTCACAGTGAGAGTGTCAACAACACCTAAAAAAATTTTGCACATGGAATTTTACGAAATCCATCATAACCTAACCATTGAAAGTTGTATTTTACCTTCAGATATTCGAAAGATGATTCTGGAATTATGTTTAACATTGAATAATCATCGAATGTCGGCAAAACATCTCAGACTTATTTTATCTTTTTTCAACTCTGCAAATCCACCTATGGCAAGTATTCTATGATTTTTTGGACACGATATGGAAAGTGTTAATGGCGTTGACAAATTGGTTTTCTGCATCTGAAATGGACCAATTTTTTTCAAATGTTAGCGCTTAAAAATTGAAAAAATTTCCAGATTACTTTTTTTGTACTTCAAATAATTCACCTCCAGTTTTTCTGATGTCATTTTACATGGGAACTCTTTATATGACATTCAGTAAAACCATCTACCATCTCATATGATATCCAATGCAATTCCTTTAAGATTTAGCTGTTACTTTGTTGATCACCACCATAGCAGTTATTTAGCTTTTGTATCCATATAATTTGAGCATTGCTTACTTGTTATTTTAAATATAATTTCACATTATTTCCAATTACTTAAGAATTATATTTTTAATGTAGTCTATTTAAAAATTTCTAGTGAATGCTGAAGGAACATTGACATAATTTGTGTTTTATTTTTAGGAACAACTTCTTCAATATCTCTTGCTTTTAATTCAACATCAACATCCGGGACCGAGTCAGTATTTACAATTTCCTGTCAACGACGAACTGAACACTCAGTCTAACCATCGATATAGTGTTACGGAAGCGACGAAAAAGTCTGATGAACCGTTCACTTTGTCAGTATGGAAAGTTGCACCTCTGAGACTGCCTATTGGTAAGTAGTCTAATAGGTTTTTGATATTGGCAGGTAGTTCGAAAGATTTTTCCTACTTGTCTCAGAGAATAGGAAAGTTCATAAGATGACTCGATCATCTTGTCTAATTAACAAGTCTATGGCGGGCGATTAGATAGCCAGTTATTTGTTTCAGATGCATGAACTTGATTGTGGATGAGGTTGTAACCGGCCAGTAGTTAAGTGAACTACCCTACCATTGGCAGGGATTCAAGCAATCCTCTCACACTTCATAATCTCTCAATCTCTCATTTTCTCAATGCGCCAATTTATTTAGGGGTTTGATATCTGTAAAACTTTGTATTAATGTGAATATTATTTGCAGTCTCCAGTATTCATTGGCCAGCATCCAACATCGGGATTACAATTTCATTATGGATCAAGTTAGGTTTGTCTCGAGAAAGCAGAGAAAAATCACCAGTTATGGAGAGTTGGGGTAATTATGATTCAAATTATAGTTCTTCCTACATGGTATGGCAGTGTTTTTAGACCTTTTTTGAATTTGTAACACTCTTTATATCATAAATTGTTTGCGAAACACGGAGGGAAAATTTCCGATTTTCAGCTCATAATTATCTTGATCAGTTTTGGCATTGAAAAGAGTAGCAAGACCAATGGCTTATCGACTTGAATTGGAAAAGACGTAACAAATTCAAGTTCATGGCTTTGAAGAAGAAAAGTATAACTTAAAGTTTTCATTCTCTCATACCTGTTTTAGGCTCGAAATAGCAATGCCATGTCAATAATATCGTATATGGGATGCGCGCAGATCTTCTATTCTGTCAGGAATTAGGACAGAAAAACAAACATTGTTCTTCAACGACTCTTAGTTTCATGCGAGTTTGGCATGTCGGGATTCATTACAAATGCCGTTGATAACTCAATATAACTGGCAAATCTTGACAATTAATTAAATTTAACGATGCCATGGAAATTTTATAGGGCACATGATCAAATACTTTGATTATTATTTTGCATTGAAAAAGCAAAAGGTGGAAAAAAATTCAAATTATCATTTTAGAATCTGACCAAGTTGTAGTTGTTGACATTGACCACACAATGAGAAAAAATTATAGTAGTCATGACGACCCATCTGTTGTTGCTCCATATCATCATCTTGTGTCAGTTGGAACTCGGCACAAAACACTACAAGTGTGGCTGGAAAATGGAACTCTAATATTCAAGTTAGTCAAATTTGTAGTCTACATATTTTTGTAACGACTAATAATTTGACGAGTACAAATGGAATCATGATAAGTTTTGGTTTGAAGGCAGGAGCTTGTTTTTTTATTGACATTGGAGCGTACCCTATGTTCAAACATCCAAGAGCCAAAGTTGAAAGTTGAAATTTAAGTTCTTCTTAGTCAAAATTTCAGAATTTTATTCATGGTAATCAAAGACAAGACTGAACAGAAACTGGTTTTGCGCTGGTGAGTGCAAGGAATATGCTCTGATTATCCTGCAGGAGTTCGCAGCTTCGAATTCTGTGGGGATAAATATGTGCTAAAAGATTGCTGGACTTCTCGCTGCCATAGGGTGGTTGATGTAACAGCTGGTCGGTTATGGTTTCCTCCACCATCAAGTCCATGCATCTGATAACGAATAACTGGCTAACTAATCCTACACCCGACATATATGGTTTGCCGGACGTGAGGCCGTATTTTGCCGTATTATTAAATCATCTTATCCGCTTTCCTCTTCCCATGGATAAATATTTAAATTCTATCCCAAATAGCATTAAGTTGGCCAAAAATTTTCAGCAAACAACTAACGAAGTCTTGCATATGTCAAGGTTTTTGTTATTTGGTTTTCCCAGAGGTCGAATTTGGGGTCAAGGGTCGGAATTTTTTTTATGCTGTTATCAGAGCCAACATTTAATAATGAGATATTCAAGATAACTTATATCTTCACTTTTTCTCATAGCACTTTTGAAAGTGACTGAATCCTATTTAAAAATTCTTTTTGATTCTGTATTTTTTTTTTATAGAGTTTGTATTGACTCTGATGATTCCAAGCCTATTGGTGTGCTGACTCAAACCCAATGTAACGGATTGCTTCTCACTAATAGTGAATGGCAGCACTTGACGCTCAATTATACTGAGAATAGATTGCCTGATAAGGTGAGTGTGATAGGCGCCTGGAAAAAATTCACTCTGAAAATTATTCCCTTCGAAAGTCCCATCTATGGAAAATGTCCTCCATGGAATATTCCATTCAAATTTTGGGGGTGGAGTGTTTGATTTTTTCGCCATTGTTTTATAGTAGTGTTAAAATTCCAGACATCATTCATAAACAAGTCTTCTGACTGTTATAAATATGTTTGAATAATTAGTGTATAACTGTTGTTAAATAATCGGTTTTGGTGATGAAGGTATCTATGTAGATTACCCAATATTGAGTTGAAAAAACATTTTGAAAAAGAATTTTTTTTTAATTTAATATTATTAAGTATTGATCTATGAAGGTCCTCTTTATCGCATTGCGGTTTGAGTGCCATTGGACGATTATGGCTTCTTCGAACATTCCTGGAACATGTGAATGAGCTATTCCCAAACCTGACTGGGACAGGCCACCAAACAACATGTCTGATCTCTGAAGTTATGCAACGTCTGGCTTTTATCTTTTGTGGAATAAATTCAAAAAGCCTATTATATCCTGTATTGCTTAGTTTATTATTCTGAAAAAAGTCTGAATCTAAGATCCTAAAAATTCTAGATTACTAAATAAAGTCTCACTTTTCAGACGATTCTGGGAAAAGTTCATGCAATAGTGAATTGTACAACAGAGAGGGATATTATACTGGAACACAATATGCCAAAACAATCTGCCAGAAGAGAAAGTATTAACAGAAAGACGGGAATGGCTGAACCTAGGAAAGTCAGCTTATTTCTTGGACATTACTCCAGGTAGGTATTTATTATTTCATATTGCTATTGTAAAGAGAATAGACGTCAATTTGTGTACCGGTTTTAGATTCATTCAGTCAATTGCGTTTACGCTGAGGAGAGTATAGTTAACAAGACTGTTTAATCTTACAGCTGACCATTGTGTCCATCCTTAACCACCTAGTTACTAGTCCACGTCAAGGTAGAGAAAACTTTTTCTCAAAAATATTTTGAAATTCTCTCTTATCCATGCCATAGGATGAGAACAAAACACACTTCTTATCTCTAGCGACAAAGCGACATTTGAACAAAAAAATGACATTTTTTGTAATATTTCTGCGTATATATTGACTTAAGACAATTTAAAATATATTTGATATTCCATATACAAAAATATTATTTTACAATGTTTTGGGAATAGTTTATTATTCAGATTTGGCCATCTCTGGCTGGTTTACCTTATCGCTCTATGTTACAATCTAACCATCATAATTTTTTTAATTTTAGGTCTTCAAAAGCCAATACCTATACTGAAGAAATGTCTGGTTATAAGTTGGGCACAGTAATGCTTTTTGAAGGAATATATTTTACACTGAAATCAGCTTTTGCTATCTTTCGACGTGGTCCTAATATCAATAACCTGACAGACTGTTTAGTTTCTGATACTGATTTTAAGGTAATTCAATGTCGGTTTGTTTAAATTTCAAATGATAATTTCCATCTTAACTGTAGAATACAATTGTTTGATAACTGTGAGTGTGATAAATTGTGGGATTCTGTCGGATAAGACACCGGCAGACACCTGCATACACTGAAATTCTGTTATCAACATTTGTTTTTTTCGTGGCAGCATTCGAAGATAAAATTTTCCTCAATCTGTGGCCGGGGGCCAGTTTTTGATTGGCAAGTGATATTTCTAAATGAAGTTTGAGCCGAAGTAAATTGTAAATTTTCTTGATTCCACAGCCCTGTTCTTAAGTTGCTTTGGTTAAGATAACTGTCTGTTAACGACAAAAAACTTATTTTCAGAAGGAGAAGAAATCCTCTGCATCTGTTTCATCAAGAATTCGTTTATCAAGATCCCCATCTCATATCGTCACCCCGGTTTCATCTCCTTTCTCACCCACCCCAGGTCTTGAATCCGCTAACAACCCCCATTTTTATCTTTTACCCCATTCTCTTCTCCTATCTGATGTTGTCACAGAAGATTTTTTCAGCTTGGAAAATATGCCAAGCGTTAAAAACCTGCAGGTATTCTTTTTATTTTTTATTTTTTTGTTTGTTCTTGTCCTCGCTTCAAGACACGCAGGTATTGAAGATGCTACTACTCTTGTTTCGAAAGGTCAAGGACTTTATTTGTTTTGCATACCCTCACACAACTTTGCAGATGGTGAAGCTTCAATGACAGCTTCATAGTGCAATGGTTCTCAAATTCACATATTCAATCTCTCATAACCTCTTCCGAAGACTCAACACTTGTGGCCCGTTTTTCAATAAAAATACCTAGTTTTCTGTTTCGAGGGTTTTCATTAGTTTATTTTTGCGCCACGTTCAATAATAAAAAGCCAACACATGAAAGTAAAACAATAAATTAATTACACTCGAATTACATATAATAAAGTTAATAGAGCCATAACGAATAATACCTATTGCTCATGGTACATGGTACTGAAGGAGATGAGGTTGAGGAACCCTAGCCTAGTGGCCAGATCATTAAACTTACCTATGTTGACGTCTCGGGTTCAATGTCAGTGGCTGCTTATACAGAGTCTTGTATGACGAGACATAGAAAAAAAAATCATAAAATATCCATTTAACAGTTTTTCCTTTTTTGTAGGAACACCTGGTCCTCACATACAGTCCAACTGATGTCGGAATATATTTATCGAATTCGTCCAATGTTGCGTCAACAGAACCAGATCGCCGTAGTCGTTCTTTCTCTCTTTTTTCTACTTCGCCTTCTACAAATGTGACAACAGTACCATCAGAAAATTTTGATCCATTAATTCAACAGTTTATGAAAATGCCAGTCAAGAAATTGGTGAAGTTCAGATCGCAATGGAATCGTGGTTTACATAAGTACGTTCAGGGATGTTCAAGACGAATCTTGTGACTTTGGTGTAGATACTAACTTAGTGAAAAGAAATTCGATACGAGTAGAAGTTGAAGCAAAAATTATGTTGTTTCAAAACAGATTCAATCAAAATTAACCAAGTTTGATATTTTAAATGTAGTCTTTATAGTTTAACCCAATAGGATCGGCCTGCTCATGAATGGCTATTCTGTGTCATAATTTGGGATTATGGCTAAATTAAAAAATAATCATTTCAAACATTTGAAGTCTTGTAGTGTGGTCGAAAATCATTTCAAATAATTCCTGATAACTACAGTAAAAAGACAATCAATCTAATTACTGTTTTTTTTTAAACTATCATGTACTTATAAATTATATAAACACTGATTTCTATTTGTTTTCAAATCTAACCCTGAAAAGCGTTTATTAATTGTTGTCTTATAATCTCCATATTTCCTGAAAAGTGTTTTTTAATTGTTGTATCATATCCCCATATTTTCCAACTTTTTTGAATTTTTGTGGTGGAATTGTTTGATCACCTTTATCAGCATTTCATTTTCTTTCTAATTCTTGCATCACAGAGCTCTTAATCAGGTCGGTGGAATTCAAGTGTTTCTCTTACTTTGTGCAAAAGTAGTTGAAGTGACATCGTCAACAATAAGAGATCCATCAAGCTTAGAAGAAAGAAGAGAAGCAGAAAAAATCCAATGTCTTGCTTTACAATCTCTTTTGAAATTACGTTCAACAGATTCGAAACGTCAACAAGAATTTACATCACTCAATGTGGCTGCTATGCTTCATAAGGTAGGACAGGCATGGGCAATTGTTTTGACTTGGCAGCACTTTTCAAATTCACTATTAAATTTAAAAAATTAAAAAAAAAATTGTTGGTAAAATACATAAATTCTATTTGATTCAAGAGTCTTGCTGCGCACTAACACAAATGCATTTCTCTAACGTTTCGTCTGACCGAAGTCAGACTTCCTCAGACAAACATTTTTTACCTATGGCAAGAAAAGTAATTGCATGCACCTAAATAACGAAACTTTAACTGAAATACATTTATATTAGTGTGCAGCAATATTCTTGAATCAAATAGTATAGCCATCTTTATTTTTCCTACAGCATCCTTTTGTAACACGCATACGAAGCCACTCGCGCAAAGGCATGGGGCAGGGAAAGGTTGTTAGTCTTGCGTAACCCCAACTGATAGTTAGAATAAATCAACATCAACATTTTTTTTCAATCTAAAACGCAAGCACACTGAACTTTGAAATTAATGACAGAAATATATCCTATTACTTTATTAAAATAGGGAGTCAGTATTGCTTGATGACATCCTCATCGAAGCCTGCAAATTTATGTCTGTCAAGCAGTCATTACCATTAGTTCTTTTGATCTTCATGCACAGATGCATGTTCGTATACAAATATGCTTTAGTGCAAACAAAGATAGGGATGAACCAATGCCTTCTCTGGAGGGTTTTTTTTCGGCCTATTTCTAAATTATCAGAGGTACTACAAATAATGTTTGCAGGTAACACAACTTGTACAATATAAGCATTTTAACTCTATATGATTAATAAATTATGTTTTTCAGCTTTTAACCAAATCGGAATGCATTGTCGGATTTCGTACTCTTCAAATTATATTCAATGCATCATGTTCTGGAGATGAAGTTATTGTCTGTTATAATTCAGAGAACAATGATGAAAAAGGAGATTTTTATGAGGTGAAAACTGTTTATATTAATCTTCAAATCTGAAAAATTTCACCCAAAAAATTAGAAAACAAGTCTAAATCGCATATCGCATCAGGCAAATAATCAAATAAAAAAGGTCATCCGAGGTCACAATTCTGTTTGCATGTAACTTTTCAAAGGGAGGAATTTTTATTGGTGGGATTTAAGACGACTTAATGATATGGTGAACAACTGCCTCTTGTCCAGTTACCAGTCCATGGGTATGGGATTGGTTGGTTAGTTATTTGTTTTAGATACATGGATAGAGGAAGCCGTAATCGACTAACTGTTATGTGATCCACCCTACGGCGGCAAGAAGTCCAGCAATCCTCTTACACATAATTATCCCCACAGGATTCGCACCTGTTAAACCACGCAGGGTAACCAGATTTCGGTGGTGAGCAAACGCTCCTAACGCTTAGCTCAATGCACAACAGTGCCGAGCAAATTGGGCATGAATATAGCAATTCTATATTTTAATATCTTACAGGTCAACTTTGAAAACTCTGCTTTAATTCACGACCAAGAATTGTTACAATTTCTTCTCACTGATTGGAAAATTTGGTATAAGTCTGTTGACTTGATCAATTCGGAAGGTGATTGATTTACTTCCTTTTCTTTTAATTAAGAATCAAAATAAGTCTCAGTGATGCTGCTCAAACTCTGTGGAAAGTTTAAATTATACAAGAGCAAATAAATTTTATATTCAAACTATACTAATGTCTTTGGAGACACAATGTGACCATAGAAAAAAACACAGGTCATTTGAAGATAACTTTTGTGCAAGGCGTTCTAAATTACTGAAACTTTTGGGTACAGTCACACAGAAACAGAAGCTCGAGCGCCGACTGAATTTTCTTTTTTTTCGTAAAGTAATTATAAAATTTATAGGTCATGCTTATTGGAGTCAACCTGTGATATCATTCAGTGGCTTCATATGCTTTATTTTATTTAGTACTGATGCAATCATTTTTCAGCAGACTCAGCAAATTTTGTTAATTTTTTTTTGGTTATAACATGCTGTATTTAATCTTGATAACATTACAAATGTTAGCCTTTCTCAGGTTTGCGCTCAGCTGTTTCAGAGTTGTGGTTATGAGAATTTTGTTTTATCGCTGTCCAAAACAAAAAGCTTAAGGAACACTAATATAATCAATAATATTAATCACAAATTGTAAAGCAAAACTTTTTTGTAAAAAAACGAAATACTCTTCTTTTACAGATTCAGATGATTTGTTCCCAGTTTGGTCAATGTTGCTTCAAGCAATATTGAGTTTAGTAAGAGTCGAACATCCTCATCAGTGGTTCAACTCAAAAGCTCTTCTGAGAGCAGGAATTGTTCACAGGATACTCACAGGTCAGTTATTCTAGGCTTGTTTCGTCAATACGATGTATTGAGTTATAAGAAATGGTATATAACTCTTGGGCCTTATGGTAAAGGTTGTTAATACTTTGATTTTTACTAAGGGTCGTCAAAAAAACTTTTCTTAGAGTGGGAATCATCGATTAAAGTCTTGCGAATGTTGGCTGATGTAAAATTTGAAACACTCTAATAATTATGTATGCTTTTAAAGAAAATATAGGTGGTAGTGAATTTCACAAGGCCGAGTTTTAGGAAGAAATCCCCACTTAAATAGCATTGATGCTTTTACTTGTTCCAAATTTTCGATTATTTTTAAAAGAATAGGTCAGATTCAGTTTTTAAATCATCTGTTCGTTAGGCTGGTTGTATAATCCTTGTTTTTCATACTCGCTAAAATGTTTAACCTCGAATTTATCCATGGGGAACAACCCTTTTCCTTTCCATAATTTATATTCATGTCATGCAACCATGTTTTTTTGTTCATGTAGGTCTCCAACAAATGATTGCAGATGGTGTTGATCCGTTTCCTGGACAAAGCGTAACATCACACATGATAGAATTATTACGAGCTGTTATTGGATCTCCCCCAAGCATTAATATTTTATCAAAAATATGTGATTTTTTAGTAGCCACTCATCCTCCGGCTAGTAAGTGTATATTTTATTATTATCGTGTATTTTTTAAAAGTAAATCTCGAAAAAAAAATTGAAAATTCGATGCTTTTATAACATAAATATAAATAAACTAGCAATGTGGTTGGTATACTGCCAGATTTTTTTCAAAACTAATGTTCTTTGTGTGTTTAGGTACATTTGTATGTCACACAACTTCCAGTTTTTATTTCAACTTGAAGACGTCAGAAAATAATAAAGGTTCGAAATGTTTTTATTTTTACTGAAGTGATAATATATAAATATTAAATTTTGACTTTATTTTGGGTGCAAAGAGACATTTTGGGGAATTTAGTCGTGAATACCAATACTGCCTGAAAGCTTGACGACTGGCCTGTTTTGCTATGGGTACATATCCCCAAAAGAATAGTTTAAATTTTGTCGGATATATTGCTCTCGGTGTATTGGTTGTCTTTGCTTTTTGTTTGCGTTTTTCTTTTTCCTTCAATCGCATACTCAAACTAACATCATAACCAGAAAATAGCTAGAAGACTTGTTTTAACCCAATAATTCCGCTATCAGGATGTCTTTTCTCTCTCACTGGATAAATTTGAAACCTATCCCAACTCAATGAACATTAACAATGAGAGAAAAATAATTCTGTATATCCAGCCTAGCTATGCTACTATAGAATACAATGTGCTTGTTTCATAAAATAAACTTTCAAGCTGGAAAAAGAATATGAACCATCTTGATATAGGGATAGGATTTACATATTTATCCCGGGAGAAAGGGAAGCCGATAACACGACTTTATTGTATGGCGAACCACAGCCTCTCATCCTGTTACCAGTCCATGACGGACTGATGGTGGACGAAGTCGTAACCGACCAGCGGTTACGTCAATCAACCTCCGTATGGGGTGCGGAGTCCTGCAATCCTCTCACACATAATTATTCCCGCGTGGGATTTGATCCTGCACACCCACACAGGGTAATCGTAAGTACGGTGGCCAGCGTATTTCTTATGGACGATGCGCCACACCGTCGAGCTTACTTCTTTATAGATTGAAGTAATAGTCTACTTTTATTCCACATGAACAGATTTGGGACAAATTACTCAGTCATTACCTCATTCTCCAACATCCGATGATCCAAACGCTATGCGTCCTCTACTAAATCGATCTGTTAGTGCACCTGCAAAATCTCTCTCACCGAAGCGTAAAGTTGAAACACTATTATCCACTGCTAGTAAAGCAATTGCTGAAGCAGTGATAACGGAAGAAAAGGAACATCATACTGATGGATTGAAGGAAGATAGCTTGAATAATAGCTCAGGTGTTAAATATATCGGTCATTTTACTTATAGTGGACACATGGGGGGTACTAAATGCATTGACAAAGCACAGTACTTATTGAATACAGTTAAGTGCTAAATTATTGTTGGTTTTCACTTAACTAATAAACTACAAATTTTCAGTGTTTATTAAAGATAGTAGAAGTCTTTAAAAGTCGATTTTTCTATTTATACAAATTTTGGTGGTTCCTATATATGACCTTACGTATATTTATTTATTTTAACATTCATCTAAAATTTTGCTGACATGGAGGTGGCCATTGTAGCCATTCGATTTTCTTACCCAGGCCTCTTCTCCGAATGATGGTGAGGATTGTGATACTATCACCTTTCAATGCAAGTTCATTACTTAAAATTAGAGTTGATTTTAACTTTCTTTATTATAAAATGGTTTGGCACCTGGCTATGCATCTAATATTTGATATGTGTTATTACGCAGAATAATAAATTTGAAAGTCACAAATTGCACTTTCTTTTTTGCATTTTCAAAAAATTGCATTTTTTAATTTTTATTTTTCTTTGCAGTTGGAAATGATACTAGAAAAATTAAAGCATTGTCAATTATAGAAGAAGGAAATTCATCTGGCAGTGGGAATTCATCAAGGTATGATATAATGGCATTAAATTGATCAAAAGCCAACTTTTACTCGAAAAAGAGCATTTTTTAGCCTAATTTTTTGTAGTCTTCTTAGATGATTTCCCTTATCCATATACATTACTTTTAATTTTGTGGGCTTGATTGCTTAATGTGGGAAGGCCTAGTGATTAAAGCGTATCGTCGACTTTGTTGACGTTGCAGGCTACAGATTTTGGGTACAAATCCCATGCCTACCCCCTCACCCGGGGTGTAATAAATTGGAAAAAAACAAAAATTCTTTTAAATATTGTCAGATATCAGTGGCTAATTCTACTTAGTTTTATTTAGAAAGTCATGAATGACTGTCTTATAAAAAAATTTCATTGTGCAACAAAAATTTGATTTAGAAACACTACGCCATCACGTTTGAAGAGCATTGCAAGTTCACGTAGTACTTTTACCTTGTCCACTCGGGCTGATGGAGGGAATGACAGTTCATGGGAAGAAGTTCCACACAATGTGAATCCAGTCCTAACTAGTCCAAAAGAAGATCGGAAAGCAAAAACCTCATCTGGTGGAAAGGATGAAAAAAATGATGAGGTTAGCAGGCTGCATGATGTTTTTTCCTAAATACTGTCCTTCTTATATTGGTTTATAATTTCTAGTTGTCATTACAGGAAATTCGTTTCGTAATGCAGAAAGAGATTTCAGGGCCAAGTAGTAAATATTCTTCAATGAAAAGTGTGAATCCACTCGATATCGACGATAACAATGAATTATGTTACGTAACCTGCGAATTACTGAACCTTCTGCGCTTAGCTGTGATGACTATGCCAGATATTGATGCTTTTGAATTGACTGCTGGACCACTATGTGCCAAGGCTCTTGTCGTCGGTGTACACCACAAATCTAGTGATGTTAGGGCATCAACGCTCCGAATGCTGGCGGTTTACTTCTCAAAGTATGTTATTTCAATTTCATGGACTATATTAATTACGATGGTCACAGAATTTCATATAACGTATTTGCTTGTTATAGCCCGAGCCCATAATTGTTTCAACCAACTCACTAACCGGGCCCTTATTCAACAACGGGCGCTTGTTATTTTCGATCGTTACAATAATTAACATATTGTTATTTCCAGTTCTAAAGTATGATTTAAACGAGAATAACGAAAATTTTGAACAAATCCACAAAAGAAGAAAAGTTTTGCGACGCCCTATCAACATTGAAACGACGCACTTGGGCGTCGCGACGCCCAGTTTGAGAACCACGGTGTTACGTAATCAATGCTATCTGTTATGTATGAGTGTTATCTGCCGGCCCTTATTTATTTGTATGTGTTGTTCACACGGGCGGCTATTCAAACCTTAATCAAGATCGGGCGGTAAAACGAGCATATACGGTAGGCCTAAATTGAAGAATTTGAAAAAAAATTAGTTTTTCATATAACAATCATGGATCTGACTAGTTCATCATTGTGATCTGTGCTATAAATGAATATTATCTTTTTCTCTAAGATAGTTTGCTCAAAGGTAGACCATGCGCACTCACTTTGAAGTAAAAGGTATTTGGTATAGAACTGCAAGTCCTTTCTGCTTACTTTGGATCTGTATGTTTTCGTTAGATCATAGCTACTGAGTACTTACACATTGTTATACTTCGAATCTGTACGAGGCCTTCTGTATCACAACTGCATGTAGAAAAAATGCACAGTAACTGATCACAACATGGCACTGTATTCAAATATCTTTGGTCGATAGATTGGCAAAGCCAAACGTTATAGTATTTTTCTATATAACAAGTATCATCTTATAACATTGCAAGGTGCAGCCCAAAGGCGCAAGAAGAATTCCTAAAAGAAAAAGGTTTTCATCTGGTGGCCAACCAACTGCATCAACATCCAGCTACTCGGCCTCTACTGGATGCGTGTCTTTATTTTCTTTTGGGTCATCCCATATCTTCTGCAGAAGTTTTACCGTTAGATGGAACTGCCCCTGACCCCGCTGTTATGCCGACACCAGCTCCGGACCCATTTACTAATCATGCAGCAGTTCTTCTGTTAGCGGTTCTCGGAAATACCGTTCATGATTACGATCTATGCAGGGATGTCGTTACTCGCTTGGTAAGTCTTAAACGCTGGAAAATGCATTTTTACGCTAATATTGAGTTGTTTGTGACAGACAATGAAACATGAAAATGAGGAACATTTGAAATATGTGATATTTTTTGTGTTTATTACTGGATTCATCATGTTATGTTACAGCAAATGTAGCAAAAGATCTTTTCTAAACTCTCTTTGTTTCAAGAAATAAGTGAAACAGGCTTAGTGAAGCCGTAAGAGAATTGGAATAAATTTCAATTCAATTTGAAGCAACCACTTCACAGGCTTTACCTGCTTTTCTATTCCTTTCTTACACATTATACAATATACAATTTTATATATCTAATATCCATAATAAGCATAATATTTTTTTATATTTTATTTTATGACCGAAGCATGTGAAACCATTGAAATGGCTTATGTCCTTCTCGTTTATAACAATAAATTAATTTCTCTTCTCTTTTAGCAAGAACTATTTGAATGCATGGGCCCAATAGCTGATGTTATGTTGGACAACGGACTCACTTTGGCTTTATGTAACCTTATTACAACTGTATTGAGTTCTTCATGCACTTTGGAAGAATATGAAAAAGAAGTAAGATATGTTTGTGTGACGTTATTTACTTGAAATCACAGAAAATACTTGAGTCAAATGGAAAACCTGCTTAAATAAATGAAAGAGAATTATTCAATTGATTGTGATCGCCTTTTCCAAGTGTAATTACTGTGTTTTTTTAGTTGTATCTTTGGCCCATAGGTATGGTATGAATAAGCCGATACTCGTTATATCAGTATTTGGAAAGATCAAAAGAAAATTTTGGTAGGCCAGTGTATTGATACGACAATTCGTATTTGGAAACTAAATTTTCAGCCATACCACTTTGACATTAAAAGCTGAAGCAAAGTGTTTCACCATGAAACTAATACCCACTTGTAACATATAGGCGACAGACTTATGAGTTTCTAAATACTGTTAAGTATGCGTAAGTTCTGGAATTTTTATTAATTTCTACTAGCAAAACCTTTACCAGTGGTACTATAACTTCCGATTCTCTATTATCAAGCGAACGTAGTATCAGAATTTAGGCTTAGCTTTATTAGGACCAGTGCATTCTCCATGATATTCAACAGCGATACAGTTATTGAGGAAATGGATTCATTGTAATTTTATTGCAGTGATATCATTGTACTAATTCATCATGAGTGAATTACATTGTTGGTAATTTCATTGACAGTCATTTTGTCATATGATTATTTTAACTTTAGTCATATGAACAAAGCACAGCTCAAATAATTAAGTAACTAATGAGACAAAATCAAATTGTTTTACAGTAAAAAAAAATAACACTCATTAATAGTGTTACAAATTGATGTAATCCATATCTCTAAGTAACTAATTATGGGGAGTCTTCTTGATACATACGCTTAAATTACCAGCTGTGTATTTTCCTTGCGATGAAGGTACATCAAAGAAATTACCATTCAGTAAAATCTAATATTTCTATTCTTAATTAGTATATGGTAATTAGCATTATGGCAAACTAGGGCCACTTCCTTTTGTATAGCTTACTGTCTGGTTGTTTTCAAATTAGCCAGAGATATTCTGCAATACAATTGTTTTTAATTCAAATTTCTATAAAATTGTAAATTTTGTAATATAATTATGGCCTTTGGGAATAAACCAAAATGATGTTGCTATTCAAATATGAAAGGAGGAAATAACGATGCTTACGAAGCTAAATCTTCAATTGTGATATAGCATAATGCCTGAAAGTGGGGGAAGGTGGCTCGTTTTGAAGATTAGTAGATGGGGAATTTATTTCCGCTGACTATTCGTTGTTTTCACCAACATTTTCAGCGGAAATTTATATCCAATAAAAACTATTGACGTAATTTCAGTAGACACTAGTGGGCAGGATGAAACACATCGGTGGTCCGGATCTGTCCACTGGCCCTAATTTGCCCATCCCTTGCCAAGGCAATGCTGAATTAGAAGGATTCCGGTTATTTCGGAATAAAGTAGCCCCCTACATACCCCTTATGCTGAGTCTCGTTCAGAGCGAAATATGTCGTAAAAACAAACTTTGGTCGATAGCCACCTGTAATCTGTTTTAAAAATCTAACTCATCATTTTTATTATTATCTGTGAAGGTGAGTCCTTATTTCTTTAATTCAAATGATGCTGTCGCAAGAGTGGAGATTCAATACACATTTCTATAACACAATATTTTATGAAAGTGCAATTTACATTTTAATACCGATATTGAAGAAAGAAAAAAAAACAATAGATCATAATTTCAAACAATTAGTAATAATGAAAAATGATAAAAAGTGCAAATAATCTTGACTAACTAACAACAGAACAAAATAAAATGAATATATACATGGGTAAAAAATAACTATTCATATGTGATATTTGTAAAATCTTATAATTCTTTTTTTCCCTCTGAAATCTACTGAACATTTCAAATGAACACTGCAAGAAATATGTAGTATGTATTGCCATATATGATTTGTTCTATATTCCCAAATTTCAGTTTACAATTATTATTATATTTCGCTAATATGAATGTTGCTATTTCGCAGCAAAAATAAGATGCGCTGTATTTCCAATATTTGCGAAGCTTATTATGTAACAGTAGGAACGTCATATCAGTGGAAATAAACAATAATCAAATTGCGACAACTTTTTCAACTGATGTGAATATATGTTGTTAATAATCTATCAAAATCTTTTACGTTTACTCATACAAAATTGCATCATGATGTGCTGCATAAATTCATCAACCCATTACAAAACACTGTTAAAATTTGGCGTCCATTTTTAAATGTTAATACAATGCAAATTATATCAATGAATATACTGATGTTGCTAACAGTGTCTGAAATAGAACGCGGAGTAGAAGTTGGAATCGCTAGTGATGCAATTGCAGTTGCTATAATATCAGTAACAACGATTATCAAACAGCTTATCACTGAATGTCGAATTGTTCTGGCAACAGGATTAATTTCTAACTTATCATCTGTGTTTCCGACTATCATACGACGCATTAATGACGCCAGTCTTGTTTTTTTCGTCTCAGTCGCTTCCGTTGTGCCACTTGGACATTGACTTGTTGTTTCAATGTCACACTCTTTCTTTTGCGTGTTTTTCGTCCAGGATAAATTTGTTCGAATCATAGTATATCCAGACAGATAGGTTAGTAATATTTGAGAAATGATAAAAGCTGATATTGTCCCGTAATACACATTAGTAAGAGGTGATGCTTCTCTTATACATCCTTGTGGCGTGGCTTGATATTTTGTTGAAACGACATAAAAACAAAACGTAGCAAAAATGGTGATGGATATGATGGTGAATGCGATATAACTAAAAATTTCAACTTTTTTGCTAATCAAGTCTTTTACTGCGGGATGGCGCAATATCAATATCTGTCGTAGGAATAAAAACAAATATATTGCGTAAAATGATGCAAAATAAGTACAAATTCCAACGTCGCTCACAAGATTACAATGATTCAACCAACTTTCGATTCTTGGCATTTGAAATATCAGTGTTGTGTACAAAAATCTAACCAAGGCTGCGAAAACAACAATTATACAGGCATTGAAAATGATTCCGCTGTTAAGACTTGATTTTCCTGATGATTTCCAACTGTTTGTTTTCAATCCATATATTAGTAAACTCAATAGTATCCAGATCGATAATAAAAGTATACATCCACTGATCACTTCAAACATGATAAGTTGAACCTGCCAATTTTCTTCATTTTCTTTCATTGTTGTTTGTTCCAAAGTAGAAGCGTTTAATTTATATTCCACTGTGTTCATTGTTGTAATAGTATTCATCATATAATGCTGTTTTGTTTTCTACTCAAGACGTAATTTTTCAGTATTAATCTATAAGCATCAAAATTGTTTCCTGTTTTTTGCAGCGTTAATAGGGTGATTAATGTATCAATTTACTGTCAAATTGTAGTAATAAGGTAAATATTGGTATTGCACCATATATCAATCACCATTTACATTAAGGCTTTTCTGTATGACAACCACACTACTGCACACATATAATCATTTGACTGTCTGTCTCCACATGTGTTTTTTCATGATTCATGCATCATTGTTTATTTTCTATTTTTCTTGTTTTGTTTAATAACACACTTTTGCTGATTTATGATGATTTTATCGCGCATAAATGAAAATGAAAATTTGCTTAACTCCGATTCGCAAAACATAATCTTTGATCTTTTGCTTTCTGGATTGGTTACACACCTATTATATTTCATTTTCGTTGCAAGATTAATTTCCCAAATTTTTTTCAGGGTATTATTGAAGAAGTTGAACATTTTATGACATGCATCGCTGTGAAGGCTTGTGTTACAGCTGGTGCAGCGCATTTCCAGGTATTTATCGAGTTTGAACACTTACCGTGAAAAGTGAAATAATACGTTATTCAATTCAAAAATATATTGAGAATCAATATAAAAAATAAAAAAAATTTGTAATTGATATTGTAACTTCATCCATTAGGAGAGATTTATTCTGCGTCAAATAGACATGAGCATATGAGTTTTTGCTCAATAATACATAGAAGGTTAGTTTTTTTGCAACTGACATTATTAAATGTTTGTTTCAGGTTTTCGAAGATCTTTTCACTCTTCTTGACGTGATAGAAAATGATCAGTATAAAAACAATGGAGAATCGATGTCTCGTAATATTGCCAGAATACAATCGCTTAGCTATCACATCATAACAATGGTAAAGCTGATCTTTATAAAAATTTCTTTGTATTATACACGGATGACCAAAATCATATAATTTTCTATTCCCAATAAGTTTTAAAATAAAATTAATATTTCAAAATAACTTCTGAATCTGGTAATGTTCAACAATGAACCTTAAAAGTCAATGTTATATTCAATCTGGAAATTGAGAAAATTTAGCTAAAAAGTGATTTGATGGATTTTTAGTTTTTCACAATTTTCACTCATAATGCGAGATGGTATTTTTCAAATACAATTATTCTCAATGATTTATAAAACCAAAAATTTTGAAATATAAAATTGGTTTCAAATAGCGAATAACTAATTTCAAATAATATTGCTTGTCGCCTGAAAATCTAATATTTGCCCCCATTTGCGAAAATGAAAAAAACAGTTTTCTAATTATAACTCACTTGTCTAAGGCCATGTTCCAAGTGAACATGTTCGAATCATCTCTACCAATGCCATTAATATCGGTTTATTTATCATTATACCACTGTAACTATAGCAAATCATAACATCCCTCTTTGAATATTTGATTCATTTCGGGCATTCCTAGAGCTCTTTAACCCAAATTCTCAAATTACGATTTTAACATAGTTCTCAAATTGTGCTGAATGAATCATAATCACTCAATTACAATATTCTACAAAACTGGCAAAGGCTTAATAAAACAACAACTCCTATTTCCTCTCTTAATAAAGCTTATCATTTTATTTTACCTTATAGGTGCTCGAATTGATGCAAAAAAGTGCTGGCGGAAAAAGTCCAATGGTTCCTCGCAAATTTGATTCTGTTTCAAGAAGTGGTCCTAACAGCTTACATACTACAAGGTAGATTATTTGCTATTCTGCTATCTTTTATGACCTAAAAAATGAGCATAACAGAAAGCTGAGTTACAATAAAAATAACGATATTCTGATTAAAAGTATTCATGCAGATATTAACCATTTTGGCTACAATTTTCTTCTATCCTAAAACAGCTTTTTTTTTTATTAAAACTTACTACTCATCTGTATTTATACTCAAGCTTAATTCCAATTTTACCATGATTAAATCTGATGACAAAAAATTAGATTTGAAACATTGTGATGCAACAGTCGTAATATATAGTGCTCGAAATATTGATTAAAATAAACTTTAACTTAACATGAGTAATACAATACTTATGACGATCGTGACATGTCTAGGTGCATGGCATTCACAATCACTCAAAAATATAAAATGACATCTAAACATATTCAAATAAGAAAAAATATGCTATCTTTTATTTTGAAATTTGGATCAAAATCCAGACGCAAGCTCAAAATCAAGGACATTCAAAATAAAGTCGAGACTGAAATACGATTTCGAGTGATTGTTAGAAAAATATCAGTAATTTTAATTAAATTTATCATTATAACATCATAAATCATGAGATATAGAAATTTGTCATTGTCCCGAATCGTCTGTCATGTGATGCCTTACTTATAACAACGTGACAGGAGTGGGAAATTCTCCTAGAATTTCAGCGAACCGAGATTAGTAATGCTTCTTACCTGTCTATCAACACAATTAAAGTCATGAATTATTGGGCACAAGGTGTACAATATATGGTGTCCATAAATTCTTGAAAATTTTTAAAATTACAAAGTGAATTTATTGAAAATAAAAATGTTTAAACAATTACCGGTACTGATTGAAAAACAACAAAATGGGTTGAGATATTTTGACAACTGAATTCATAACAAAATTAAAATTGTAAAGGGACTTTATAAACACCGTGTACATTGTTTTGGTAAAATTTTCTTGTTGTTGGAAATAATCACTTTTCTCTGAAACTAATAGACTAATTATTTCCAAAATTCAAGTACTTGAAATGGTCGGAGCCTCTACAAAATTTGGAGCTCCTGAAGTATGTGCACCAAGATGGCGCACAAAATGAACATAGTATGTCTATCAGGTAGGGTTCAGGTTGTGCGCCATCTTGGTGCATTCTATAAACATTGCACCACTAGATCAATCTGACAAATCGTGTGCTCATTACTCAACTATGTGAATTGCTACTCTGTGACTCCAAATACTGACGTTAGTCATTGTACTTCTGTGTCGAAATATTTGAGAATTGTTATCTTGTTTTTTTATAGACATTATGCTTCATTATCCATGACTCAAGCAGTCTTCAAGAACATTTGAGTAATTTATTGACGTCTTACCAACAATAGAGAAATTTTATTTAAATTCAAAAAATTTATGTGAGGCTTACTATTGATTGGCCTCTGTATAGGTTTGTTTAGGTGGGGAATTAACCTAATTTGACGTAACCCCAAGTTAACTTAAAATTACCACTCCCCAGAACAGGAAATTAATGGTGACGTTATTAGCATACAGTGCATTTACTCATATTAGTTTAGCGTATTATATTAATATATTTCATAAAATTTTTCCTTCAAAATATTTCTCAAACTTTTTGCAAAATCATCTCCATTTTTTTTATTTATTTATCATAGATACATTTGAAATCATTAAAAAACAACTGCTCTCTTCATGGTTCCTCAATAGACCTCTACTAATCAAGCCATGCAAATGGCGATTAGAACCATATGTCATATTCGTCGCTATGCGACATAAGCGAATTCACGATATCAAAGCGACTAACAGAATAAACATGTTTCAAAATAGTCACCAATGAAACCATATTTCTATTTCAATATTACAACCATACAGTAAATATGAGACCTTGATTGAAAATACAAATAGATACTCTAAAAACCATTTATGAATACAAAAATCTGACGCAAGCTTAGATTGAGTTTTGAGTACATTCTAAATATTTATATTCTATATTAAATATATGGCTTTAAAAAAAAATGAGCATTGCAACATCTGAAAAATTGGTATTTCAACTTAATATCTATTAACCACACAAAAATAGGGTTATTTCAGAGTGTAGACAACCAAAACAATGCATATTTCAATGTTTCTAGGCATGGATCAATATATCCATAGGTTTTTCTGTTTTCTGTTTAATATGACCACACAATATTTAATATTCAATATGATCCCGAAATGTATTATATTCCGTTATTCATTTATAAATTTTGTTTAGTATTTGTTTGTTGATTTCATTGGCATCAGATTTTTGTTAAGTGATTTACATCTTGTCTCTAGACAAAACCTCAAACAAGCTTTTCTAGATACTAAGAACTTACTTTAAAAATTCTGGAATATTTAATAATTAATTAATTTAATAATTAATTATTTATTACCGGCTGTGAAGCAGTTAAACATAACCAGTGTTGAAACTTGAGATATCTGAATTTCCAAGAATAATATATATATTTTTTATTCTAGTTCTATGCAATCGTCAAGAAGATCATCAAATGCAGGCAGTCATATAAGTGGCGAAAATAACCAAGACGAAAACACGTTTGCGTCGCTGGATTCTGAACAATCTGTAGATCGAAAGTATGATTTTCTTATTTTTTGCCTAAATATATTTTTATTGCGTACGGTAAGCTAATTTGTATTGGAGCTTCTATCCTGCGTATGACATAAAATGTTTTAAAAATGAAAAACTGGATTTTTTTACTTGATATTCCATAATATCATAAATTGTGTATTTTGATTAAATTCAGAAATCATATATTGGATATTTTTATAAAAAAAATCTTCAACAAAAAAATGTTATTAAAATTTATTGCAAATTCATAAAAATTAAATTTAGTAATGTAGAATACTTATCATGTCTCTCCTATGTTTTTATACACATACATTCAATAATTAGGATATGATGCAGATTTTTTTTTGATTTCCTGTTTTTGTAGTGTCAAAATGGAGCTCGTTTTTCTGAACCACCTGGTGTCAAATGCTTATATTGACAGATTTTCTAACTGAAATTATTTCTAAAATTAAGAATTTACCATATCTAATATAACAAAAGAGCGATGCTCGAATATATGGATACATAAGCCAAAAGGAAGTAATATGGGTACGCAATCTGTCACGGTATACTACCGGTACCGCAGTCTTCACGACTACGCCTGACCACAAACACAAATGCGAAACCACCACAAGGTGCACAATGCTTAATTTTGATTGGTCATCGCATACAAAAAACGAATCCCATAGACGCCTCAGAAACTTTGAAAGAAATAAAAGTGATAAATACAATCTTCAACCACAAACAAGGGTCTTGTAGGTAATAAGAAATCAATTCAAATACCTATTTGTATATATATTGCGGAAATCGCTGTTTAAAAACATAGGATTATGTGATTTATTAGAGTAGCACGCACTTACCTACTTCTCTCTGCTTTTATACACCGACTAGAAAAATACCATAGCAAGAATCAAAACTGCTATAATTAATTGGTCCAAATCCAATCCTAACCACTCATGATGTTCAGTTGTATATTCTACCGTCAGTCCCGTGTCCTACTCAGCTTAATACATTTTTGAAGTAATGGCCAGTGTTTCTGTTATTGCATGATATTTGCTTTATTTGTATAACAATTATTTTAATAAGGGAAGCTGACTCATCTCACTATAATAAAGAAGCATGATTTTGATATAACCCTTATTACCAATGCAAATAAGAATGATTCTACTCAGAAGTTATAAATAAATTTGTAATAATTTAATGCTGTGTCTGGTATGGGCCATTATTTACAGCAGTTTTTGGTGAAACATTATCTATTTTATCATTTTCGAGGATAATAATAACTGTGAAATAATTGGATATTTTGTGTGTTTTGTTTATAGTCCTGTTGCCAAAATATTGTTTGTGTGGTTACTTCATCAAGGATGTATAGTACTTCAAAGCTTGATCCATCCATGGACCATGTTAGATGTTAGTTTGAAGATATCTAACAAAAAAACTCTTAATTAGGAAACCCTAATCTTATGATAATATTACCCTAATCCTAATAATTTACAACAATAATATCATGTGACATTTCAAATGCTTCTAGTCCAAGAATGACCAACCCCCAATGCTTTAATATTTAAAATACATTTACGCAAATTAATGTAAATTTATAGAAAATTGATTTGCTAATGTATAAAAGTTAAGATAAACGTTATTATGATTGATTTTCTGTTTTTACAAAGTCAAAAGTGGAACAAATTCAACTTTTCAACTCATCTAATGGTTAAATCCTTATTAACTATAGTGGCATAGCAGTTCGGAATCTTGGATTCCAACCCCATGCCAACCACCTTACTCAGGGTGTAATAAATTGAGTAGAGCAGGGGTGTGCAACCTGCGGCTGGCGGGCCAAATGCGGCCCACAAGGAGAAATTCTGCAGCCCACGGAGAAGTGCCAATTTTAAAATGGTGTGTGGCCCGCGAAACAAGTTTTCAATTTAGTTTGATCTGGTACGTGCGAGTAATTCCAATCCCTTTGCGTCGCGAAGCCTATACTTGAGTCCAATTTATTATCTATGCTACAATCGAAATGGCGCTACAATGCCCTAACAGCTAGCTTGCGCGAAGCTCACAACGCATGTCATAAGATTAATAACCAAAATTTTTGTGTATGCAACTACTAGAAAGCCTATGTTAAATAAAGGTGCCGCCCGAGGTTTCATCCAGTTATTTGTATCTGGCACACCTGTATTAACGGTTGCACACTCCTGGAGTAGACAATGCCAAACTATAGTGTCATCTTACCTAGCGAGTAGCGGCGGCCGCTTGTGCATTGCCTTATTAGGAGCAAAATGCATAATCTATATTATTTCTGAAGAGAAAAAATCAAGAGTTTATCCTATCGAATGTAGCAAATTTCAAAAATATTCAAACACTCGATCATCTACCTTTTAAATGACGTTTGCAATATTTGCGCTTATAAGTAAATGCTCCGCTTTTTCGCATCTTTGCCGCTGCTGCTGTTCGAAAGCCATTCATAACTTCTAATGTACAGTGATCCTCACATTATTATTCTAAAAAAGTCTTCATAGAAACCGCTACAACATTGTAAATATAAGAATCTTTGTCCTCCAGGATGCGAGACCTTTTTTCAACATACTTCCTTGAGTCAGTCTACTGATGAACTGTCATATCATGTTTTTTGTAAGTACTATTCGTTGTTTTTCAGAGACAATACAAGTCATGATGCGGATGTTTTTGATCGTAGAAGTTCGCTTATGACATCATCGATGTATCATCATCACCTTAAATCAAAATCACATAAAAGATCACATTCGATAACACATAGTTTGTCATCGAGTGAATCAAAGTAATCAGACTTTTCATTTTGTCTGTTAAACTATTATTGTTTACAATTAAAGGAAGTATAGCATAGTTTACAACCTGGTAAAAATAAAAGAACCTGATGAGAATATCTAACGTATGGAATAGAAAAGATGAGTCTTATTCAACTGATGTTTCAGACCTGCAACTTTTAGATCAGTACTCGAACCCCATAACAAAAACTTCTCCGTATTTGAATTCTCTTGCATTTTTTATGACATATTTTTAATGCTATAATATTGTTATGTCATAAATGTTGATATTTTATTATTTCATCATTTCACTTCATTTTATTGTTATTGTTTCACACTTTAAATGATTTTTATTGGCTTGTCAGAGCTTATAAGTATGGCAGCATGATTGTTGCACAAGTTAATGTAAATGATGTAATTTGTAATAATTGCGTTTGCTAAGCGGTATTAGTCAATTTAAGAATGAATAACAAAAAACCAAAATGATCTCCTACTGGCTTGTGACTGTCTTATTGCGAATTCCTGTTTTTGATAAATATCAGTAGAATTTTCATTGATTGATTGATATTGATAAAAAATTGTTTTGATCATTAACCATTTTCAAGATTAAAAGAATGCGATTGAAATTAAAGCCTCCTCCACAAAACGGTTTTCCATTGATTCCATTGAATTGCAAAATTCAGTCATTTTTCGTCAGTTTGGTGTTTCATGAATTTCTCAAATTTTAATTAGTATACGTTTTGTTAGTACGTTTGGCCTTGCATTTAATAAACTTGTATAATTCAAATAAATTTGCTCAGAATTAATTATAATTCATACTGTTTTATTTTGAATTAATTTTACTGATTTTCTTCGTTTACAGTGTCCTCTTCCGATCTACTCATGGTGGCGGTCTGCGCACTCGATCATTCAAGGGTAGTCAAAGACGTAGAATAAACGAGGCTGAAACTGCAAGAAGATTTCAACGTGTTATCATGATTGCAGTCGACAAAATTGTTTACAATGAAGCCAAGGTCTATGATGCGAACAGGTACCTAGAAATGTTTTATTTTTAATTACTTTTTATTTTTGCGTACTAATTTGTGCTATAAGATATTTTGATGTTTATACCAAGTTCCTTAATATAATTGGTATTTTCTGAGTATTTTATTAAACTATATATTTCATCTTAATATATTTTAGGAAATATAATAATTAATTTTGTCTTTTTTATTGTAGGAATTTCTCTACTCACATATTTTTGCCATGTTTAAAATTTTCTTCGCGCTTGATATTGATTTTAATTATTTTAAAATGAATGTATAAGACTTGAACTGTTTGTCATTTTTTAGGCTATGTTAAATAAACATTATTTAAGTCCCAAAAGTAACTTCTGGTAGATTTTTGTACAGTGTGTTGCCTCTAGAAGTACTAGGAAATACAAGAAGTATTTACCAATTCTTTTACAAATACAAATTTTTTTTACTAGTGACAAAGACACAACATTTGCAACAGGAATATCTCCATCCTCCAGCATCAATAAATCTCACCAAAAATATCAAGATAATGATGTTTTTAGCGGAGACCGAAAAGAGTATGCTATTTGGAATAACTTCTTTCATCAGATTTGTATTTGCAAATATACTGAAATAATAACTTGTCATTAAAAAGAATCCAAGGTTACTTGAGTAACATATTCCAATTTTAATCCTGGGTTCTCTAGATGCTATTACATGGCCAATTCGCTCTTGGACATTTAAATATCAACATTTACAAAAATTTCTTATTTTTGTATGCAAATGTTCAAAATTATTGGGTACTAAGTGATAAATTCTCAGTTATTATCTTTTACTTCATACCTTAAGAGTCATGTTGATACGTTGAATATTTATACACAACAATTACACTGACTGTGCTTGTGAATTTATTTGGTGGCAATCATGTCCCATTTGGATGCATAATGCTCAGTTGGATATGATATGAGTTTAATATTTATTCCAGGGGTGAGGGAAGTTTATAAGATGGTTTAATGATATGGCAAACCACGGCCTCTCATTCGATTACCACTCCATGTCTGGTATAGGAACAGTTATCCAGGTATTGGTTTCTGATGAATGGACTTGATGGTGGAGGAAGTCGTAAGCAACTAGCGGTTATGTGAACCACCCTATCTGGAGTTCAGTAACCCTCTCGCACATAATAAACCCCCCGCAATATTTGAACTCCCCCCCGCAATATTTGAACCTGCGATCTTACGCAGGGCACTCAAAGGTGCGATTGGTAGCATATTCCTAACGCTTAAAATGATGTGCTAATCGCAAAGTCAGGTTGCTGTTGTTTCTCTCTGAAAATTAATTTTCATAATGATATCATATAATATTTCAGGGATTTCAGCCATCACTTATTTCATAATCTGATTGAATGGTTATCGAACGTTTTAACTGGAGGTCCCAGACCAGCAGTCTCTAGAAATCGTCCATCATCAAAATACTCTACATCTTCCTCTTTAGCTCCATCAACAATATCTCAAGGCTGGGAAAGGATTCTTATGATTTCTAGGGAAAGTCTGTTGGATCAGGTAATGCTCTTTTGAATGGCCAATACCAGTCTGGTATGGTTTCAGCTTGGTCAAATAACTGGCACTAACCAAAGCAACCATTCCAAAATCAAATTTTATTGAGTTTTTGGCTTTTTGTGAGTCTGATCACAGATTCTCTCAGAACAAGGATGTGTGCAAGAAACTACTTATATCCAAGGAGCTACTAACATTTTATAATGATGATAGTTCAATTCTTACTGTATTCACATAAGTCTGTCATTGATAGTATGCTCATAAATTATTTTCTATGCAACATATTTCTATGCCGTTTGCTCCAAACCCGGCAGTGCACAGATATCTACTGATTTATAATGAGCTACTTTCATTTGAAAGACCAAATCTTTTTAGAACATTGTCTGCCCAATTTATTACACCTTGGGTGAGGTGACGGGCGTGGGATTTGAACCCGGGATTTTAGGCTGCGATGCCATCATAGTTAACTCTAGCCGTTTAACCACATTGCCACCCACCCATTTCAAATTTAATATAGCCGATAGCATACATACTTGCAATGCAGAATAATAAAACATAATAATTTTTGTTTATGTAAACTGACTCATTCCGGAAAAACATGACTCAAACAGGTTTTTGCATATTTGTAAACGAAGTGGTGATTTTAATTGCTTTTTATGGAACAAAATGTGGAATTACTCAATGCATATACAGCATTAAATAGATATGTCTTAAAATTCAGTCAGACGCAGACGGGTAACAGTATGGAGCCTGTTATTAGTCATTCCAAAAAGTCATGTTGTTGGCTTATTTTTGGAGATAAATGTAAAATACCATGAATTGATTTTGAATTTATTTTTCTCATTTTTAGACAATACGCTTGTTTGTACATCTTATGTCACCATGGCAACTTGATCTGAGAGTTCGAACATTACCTCTCTCAATTGCACAAAGACAAAATGCCGAGCGTTTGTTGACGACGCTCTTTCCTAAAGACTCGAAAAACAGCAAGAAGGTAAATCTGGCATACTATTTTTACGAGGCGTTTTTACCTTTTCGCTCCGAATAAGGCTCTGGGAGAGGGAAAGATGGATGGAACATGGGGTTTGAACTTTGAACCAGGGCTGATTCGAAATCACAGTGACTTCCGCTCTGCTACCCATTGAGATGTGGCCACTACCGTGGGATATCTGCCCAAATAAAGTTTCGTGGAACCGGGACTGAAACTATGACATATGAGTTATAAATTTCAAAATTAAAGTATAAATATATGTATTCAACTTGAAACGCTTAAATTAATACTATAAATTGAAATTTATAAAAATTTTGGACAGCTGAAAGGAACTGATTTTATAAATTGTATTTTGTAATTCGTAGAAATTTATAATTGCTAAAAAATATTTAGATGGTTAGGTGTTGGAGCCACTAAAATTTCTGGTAGCTACAGCTACAGCTAACAGCTCCATAGCTCCATGATCCAGTTCTGGTTTGAATCGGAGTGTATAATGGAGCGGATGCTCTAATTATGTATTTCATTACATTAGAAAAGCAAAAGTGCAAAATACATTGAACTTTGTGTTTCCATAGCAATGCTCTAACAAAAGTATGAACTTTAAATGGGTTTTTAATGTTATTAATCTTCTTAACTGATTTAATCATTATCTCTTGTCCAAGTATGCTCATCGTCTTGACCAATTTTGATTAAACATATTTCTATAATTTATTGTACTTTTTATTCAAACTGTGTAGGTCAGTGTATATCTTCATTACTTACTCTGCTATTACAAACAACAAATGACATCGCAAGAACGTAAAGACACAAAGATATTTTGTCGACTATTTCACAAGTAATTGCAGTTTTATATCTTGTATTTTAATTTGGAAATATTACATTGGAAAATTGTAACGTTGACTATTCGATTTTTGATGAAATGTATTATTAAAAACATTTCAAACTGATATCAAAAGATTGTTTAATTTACCTTTTCTATATTCTGAAATCAATATAGTAATTTATAAATTTTGGCGCTCTAGAAGTCTGTGTATCAATATGGAGGTAACTAATTTTGTTCGCCCATTTTACATCAAGTTGTGTAAAGAGATGGAAGCCTATAGGCAAGGGGTATATTTACTTGGCTAACACAGACAGTCCCTGAACTCGTAATAGAACTAAAATAATGAAAATCGGAATAAAATTATGGCCTAACCCTAACCTGGTACACACACTACGGGAGTACCCATTTTTTTTTTTCAATATTGCCTGTTGTAATTAATCCCAATTTGTGGTTGATTTAATATTTCATTTTTAAATATTGAAGAATAATTACTTTTACAGTTTTAATCATCCTTGATCAAACATTTATTCTTTACTCTCATAGGACTAATGTAACCCACAATAGGGCTGATCTATATTCATAATCACTGGGTCATTGGTTCAAAACACTTCCTGCTATGTTGCGGAAACGCAAGTCATTTGAACCTAGTCTCTCAACTCATCGGACTCCTCCTCAACCAGTGATAGTTGACTCCGTTTTGACTCAAAACTCTGATCACCCGTGATTTTACTCTCAGGGTTTGCGTACATTTACCCATTACTACAATATTCTATGTGAGAAGTCTTAGTAAAACAGCTGAACATGTCCCTAATCACAGTCTCTGTCTGTCTGTTTGTCTCTGTCTCTGTATCCTGCTTTGACTATCATAATTATGGACCATATGGCGCACCAGGTTATAAGTTTCACTGTCAATAAATTGCTTAAATTGGGTTTTTATTCATACATAAGGTTTGTCTGGATGTAAGACGCAACAGATACTAGTACTGGTTTTGACTTTGGGCAATAAATCATAAAGCACTTTGCGCAATAAAATCCATACATAGGCGCACCGGCTTATAAGGCAAACGATAGATTTTTGAGAGAAAAAATTTTAGGTGCGTTTTATAATCTGTAAAATACAGTAGTTATGTTTTTCATTTTCAATTTACGACGTCATCCATTTTTGTCTTTTTTACAGATGCGGCCACACTGTGTATCCACTTCTACAAAATACGAATGGTGTAGGAAACAAATCAAGAAGTTTAAGTTCCTCAGTTGTTGAGAAAGAAAAAACGACAGAAAATACTCAAACATTTATTGTCGAAAACATTGAAAAATCACAAGTATGCTTTTTTATATTAAATCCCAACCATTCTAGTGATATTTGTGTACATTATATTGACACTGATTGAATAATTTCAAAAATGAAGTCAAGTTTCTAAATACTGCAACTTGACATCAAACTTGACATCATTTCATTCCTTTTAACTTACAGTTTATAATTGAGCGAATCATATTTCTTGATAAATTCAATTGTAACTGTCTGTGAGTGCTTTATTTATCCCAGTTTCTCATCAAAATGTCTTGAATGAGACTCTTACCCAGAGTTTCCCAAGCAGGGGTTACCTGACCCCTGGGGATCCGCTCTTACAAAGATAATGACAGATGGAGGAGAAATACAGAAGACTTGGCGTGGAGTCGGATCTACCAGTTTTCTTGTTACAAATTGCGCAGAGAATTGATAAATTGCCCAGGGAAAAGCAGCCTCACCCATCACATTAATGCCATTTGTGTTGTAAATGATACATCCTTCCATGTTGGTTACGCACAGAAATTGATACGACAGGGGATGGGGGTTCATCAAAACTAAGATTTACAAATAGGGCTCTGTGGCCAGTAAAAGATTGGGAACCCCTGTTCTAACCCACCTCACCTATGGCCTGTTGTTCACCTCTGAACTTTACTATCTTGTAAATGATCTTTTGGTTTTTCAATTCCATCAGGCACTCTTTGACAGCGAAAGGCAGAGGGATATAAAGAATCGTCGAAAGCAGAATCATGACGCATATCTGCAATTAAAACTACGAACAGATCACTTGTCTCAAGTTGTCTCACAACATGCTATGGATGTCACACAGCAAGTTGTTCTGCGACAAAATATCGAAAGAAAGAAAATGATTGCTCATATGAAAGTAAGCAAATTTTTATCTATATATCTTTTAAGTACATTGGGACATGGTACTAAAATAACTGGGAAAACAACATTTACTGTTTACACCACTTCCAAGATCCAAGATAAAAAAAATTCACAATATTTTGTCTAAATTGATTGCTGATAGTCAGGGATAGTGATAAAATTATTCCGAACACACTTTGAATTGTGTTGTGCTCTGCAAATAAATTGGCTATTCTAAATTGGCTAAGTAACTTCATACAAAATAAAATTTGGTGATGAAGAATAGTTGACATGACTATTGCTTTGAATAATTTCCTATTTTTAAATATTGAGAAGTTGAAGCTAAAATCAATAATTGACCCAGTTTTGGGTCGCGACCCATCGATTGGGATTCACTGCAGTATGGTGTATAATGGTGGGCAACATACGGCCCGCGGGCTGGGTCCGGCTCGCCACAAGATTTTGACCGACCCGCTGACTGTATCCAATCGCACTCTTTAATGTAATCCGACGCATCATTCTTGAAAGTTGCAGATTGCTCTACTCTCACCGTACTGTCAGTGCGAGCTGGTGAAATAAACAATTGCCTTAGTGAACAAACAACTACGTTAGCACACTTGTTGAACAAACAATATAAGGTCAAAACAGAGAGCGTTGTAAACATTCCCTACTACTGTTATCAGTTATATTTAGATTCTAAATAGTTTCGATTTTTTAACGAGTTTTATTAACATGGAATACCCCAAGAAACGTAAAGTTGACAGAGAGTGTTTAACAAAGATTGGATACCGAAGTATTTTTTGTAATTCAAGGACTTCATTTTTCCACATCTGGCCCGCCGGCTATACACCCCTGGTGTATATAGTGATATAGTAACAATGTTGATCAAGAATTTATCAATACTTTCATCAATAATTTCAGTTAATTTTAAGACCTATTTTATTATTACAGGATGTAACCTCTAATGATTTGAGTGTTCGCAAACAATGGGCAAATTTATTAGAACACACCCCTGGTGTATATAGTGATATAGTAACAATGTTGATCAAGAATTTATCAATACTTTCATCAATAATTTCAGTTAATTTTAAGACCTATTTTATTATTACAGGATGTAACCTCTAATGATTTGAGTGTTCGCAAACAATGGGCAAATTTATTAGAACAATTAGCTCATGAACGCGCTGTTTGGTATGATGAATCAAGATATCCCAAATCATGGCAACTTGATGCAACAGAAGGTCCTAACAGGTTTGTATATTATAATTGATGTCATGTAACGAATATTATAACAAATTTTTCAGTTTTTTTAACATATTTTCTGTTAGTTCAGGTAAATGTATAAAATGCTATTTGAATTAAATTCAAGTTCGAAATACACTTAGTATATATTGTATTCCTGGCGATTATTGGTCTTGAGTTATTGTGCGATATTTTCATTTAAAAAATGAGGTTTTCATCGTTTGCGAAGTGCTTTGATGGTAAAACTTGAATATGAATATATAAAAAAAACTGTAATTTGATACGTTTATGAGTCCTGTATTATCTTAGGTAAAAAAATTTTGATGTTCTTCATACAACTAATAATGGTGGGTATGTAAGTTGTGTGGAATTAGGTATAAAAAGCTAAATAAACATTCATTAAAACAAAATGAACCTGATTAAGATGATTGCGAATTGACTTTATTGCAAATTGTAGCAGGGGGTTATGAAACCCTGTAATTATTTTTATATTTTGTTTGAAATGAATTGCTGGAAATATTTCGTAATTTCTGTTTCAGAGAACGTCGACGACTCCAAAGATGTCATCTCAATATTGACGAGAGATTTATGATGAAAAAAACTGAGAAAACTAAAAACCGAGAAATAGAAAGAAAAAGAAATCTTCAGGAAAAAATTCGGGAAATGGTCGAGAATTCTCCAAATTATGAAAAGGACGAAAATCTCACTATTACTCATGAAGAGACAAACGAGAGTGAAAAATTGATGTGCAAGAGGCCTCTATCTTTCCTGTTTGATGATGACTCGAATTCTTCAGATTCAAAAACAATTAGAACAAGGTATTATTATTTCGTTGTTGTAATATGGGTAAAAAAATGGCTATGATCAATTAAATTATATGTTTGCAATCATCAAATGTCTTTCAACCTTCAGGGCATGGCCTACTGTTGTAGTCATTGGTTTCTGTTGGGGTCATAGCGTTAGATTGTCTTGAAATAGCCAATTTTGAAATTCAAAGATGGTCAGGACCAACTATTTTTATTTTAGACTTCAAACAAATGAAAGAATATCCGTCGTTCAAAGCTGCACAAATGTTACACCATCATCCGAAACTCCTGGTGAAATACTAATTGGAGAATCAAATATGTATTTTGTTGGTAATGAAGTCATAACAGACCTATCACTGACACAGGTAACTCGATTTAAAGCTGATTTAAATAGGGAGGCGATAAATTTATGGTACTGTTCACTGTGTCAATGTAAATATTCTGGTGATAGACGTTAATTAGTATAACTGTAAGTTATATAAATGTGTACCATAACCAAATAGAGTAACACTCAGAACTCAGCACTCCACTAAAGAAAGCAGCGCATGGTTCCTTCAAAGTTCATTGGTCATGATCACTCACTCATCTGTAACCGATGACATATGAAGCCATCTGGTAAAGCACAAGTTGCCAGAAATACAATAAAAATACAATCAATAATAGATACAAGTTCGTTTACAATTATGTCTGTCCTTAGGAATCAATTTATTTTATATCCTTAGCTTTTATATTCTGCTCTTTTATGTTATGTGGTTATGTTATTTTTAGGCGCTTTTTGGAGAATGTGAAGTTCTAGTGTTGTCATGGAGACACGAAGAAGTTGCAGAAGTTCATAAACGTTGGTGGCAACTACGTGATATTGCTATCGAAATATTTTTAACAAACGGAAAAACTTATCTTTTTGCCTTCAAGAGTGCAATGGTTAGTTACCTAGTTCTATTATAAAGTCTTAGCTCAGATTTTACGAAAAACTTTGTCTATCATGTCATGGGGCAGTGGTCATTAAACTTTGGCTTGAAGAGGCATATGCGGCCCGCAAATAGATTTTTTTAGCCCTCGAACAACCTCACTTTTTATTCATAAAATAAAAATTGTTGCGCGACGTTTGCTTTGTAGTAACTAACGTAAGCGATGCACATGTTAGTGCCTACCGTTAGCTACAATTACCACAGAAAGAAGTTGTGGGTGCGTCATGATTTGACGTTTAATGTGACAATTGCTTATAAACGAAAATTAGTGTGGCCGGCATGCTACTGCCAATGTGCATATTTGGCCCAGTAGTACATGCCGAGTAGTAGTTTGCGAGCGAGAGTTATCGCTTTTCTAGGTCTTCAAAAAATAATCAATGTAAATATGTGAAAATAACATGTATCGCAAGCATTTCACCCTAGTTACTTATTTGGATATGCATATCCTAAACGTGACTATGCAGTGATCTCTGTTATGGGTATAGATAGTAAAGTAAATACATGTGCCACTGGAAAGAAGTAAACACTTATAATTAAAATCAATTGCTTCTTACCAGTAATAAATATGCACTCGCTATATCGACTTTTTTCATCCCACTTGGGGGTTGTTTAATAAATAAACTTATCTCAAAATGTAAAAAGTTAATTTTAACACAAAATTCCAATAACATGAATGTCCTGGAATGCTTTGTTGTCAACAGTGACCCGATGTAAATACTAATTATTCTAATTTATTCACAGGAAAGAGACATCATCGACAAAAAGTTAAAAGCTCTGAGTCTGCCAAACATGCTCGTTCAAGACAACGATTTAAGTAGTTTAACTCAGATGTGGAGAAACGGTCAAATAACAAATTTTGAATATTTGACGCATTTAAACAAAACAGCTGGTAGATCTTTCAATGATTTAATGCAATATCCTGTCATGCCTTTCGTTCTTGCCGATTATACATCAGCCATATTGGATTTGAACAACGTAGAATCATTCAGGTACAACATTGATTTAATAAAATAATATTTTGAAATTTTGGTAATGGTATATTCACCATCAGACACACAAAATCAAGGGTTAGAAATTTCAATCTACTCTGAACAAGGCTCCTTATAAGTAGCCACTAATGTGTGTATGTCTATTATCTTCGGAGGAATCGGGTTAGGATAGGATTTACATACCAGTATTTATTCCGGGGGAGAGGAAAGCCGATAAAACGGTTTAATCATATAGCAAACCAAACTGGTTACCGGTCCACGTTGGGTATGGGATTTGTTTTCAAACATAGTGGACTTGAACCACCGATCCAGCAATTATCTGACACATAATTATCATAATTCCCACATGGGGTTTTAACCCAGCACCTTTAACCTGCGATGCCAACATGAGTATGCCCAACGTTTCAATCTCTAGTCCAGGGGGACGAACCCATTTGCTGTCGCGGGCCACTTCATCAGTCACCGCTCAGTGAGTGGGCGCACAATTTTTAGTCTTACTACCGTATGATACCTGTTGTTGATTTTCATCAACAAAACGAACAACGGCATCCATACAGCTGATGTTATTCAATTATGTAATGCAATATAAACGCTCGGCTCGGATGTTCGAGATCCGAATTTCCATTCGAATACCACAGCATTTTTAATACGAAAGTTTGAATCTACTACCTGCATATTAATGCAAAATCAATTTATAATGCACTGATTGAAATAAATTGTAGTCTTTGATATTTTATAGCAGGTCTAGGGTTTTCTCGGATGTTGATATAAATATCTAGTGATAGCGACAGTCAGTGATGCAAGAACATCATATTTGTATAACTAATTCGTAACATCGCAAAAATATGAATCAAAACTAAATATAATCGGGTAGTTGGAAACACTTTTTATGGCCATGGATTGATGTGATATTTCATCATGGTAGTGTTCTCAGTTTGTACACGCATCCGCATGTTACATTAAACATAGAATTAAAGTTAGAGAAAGCAATAAATAAAAAATAGACTCCTACTGGTCGCCAATGAAATACTTTGCACAACTGCAAAATCGCTAAACGATGACATAATAGTAAAAAACATTATCCATCGAAAAAGTGATGGGCTCTTTCCACGAGTGGCCTGCCTAATTGCGTCGACAGCTGCATAAAAATTTTAGGATTCATTACGATTTACCCTTTCCCCCAATGGTAATATCAAACTATGCATTATCAAATCTTCCTTCATGCCATTTTGTGTCGCGTTAATATGCAAAATTCTGGTTGATAATGCCTCAGAAAAGTATTTCGGGACCCTTTGTACAAAGTTGAAAAACCACCGCCTCCGCTCAAAATTGAATGTAAATTATAAATCATTCAATTACATTTGGGGGGTTTGTACAAAAGATCCATATTTCGCAGGCTTTCGGATACGAAAATTGTAAACGAATTCTTCTGATCACGATTAACTGATTTTTGAAACGTAGGCATTACCATTGTTCTAATCATTGAGCAGAAGTTATAAACTTTTCATTACTATCAAATATCATGTGTATCGTGCACAAAAATATCACATTTTCATAGAGTGTGATTACTCCTCTATTAAACCGTATGCGTTTGCCGAAAAGAGAGCGTAACTATGCTACGACAATGGTCATTTTGATCCATTGTTAGAGGTATTGATGATCCAAAAAAATAGATGTGTTGGAAATAGTGTTGTTGCCAGTGATATGAATACGGTAACGCGCTCCCGTTCTCTCTGTACAGTTTATGGAGGTTTGTGAATTTACGCCAAACATACACTGAATTGCCTGAATGCTTCGTGGGCCGCACGAAAGTTCTTGGCGGGCCGCAGGTTCGTCACCTCTGCTCTAGTCCATGGGGTCCGCATCGCTGAATTCAATACCATTGCTTAGTGATTCAAATAACTGGCGTTCAGTTAGACTTCCTCCACTCACATATATATGTCTCATATGTTTAATTGGTTCATTATTTCAATACATTACCATACTCTCAATATCCTATGTATTGGTAGCTGTAATAGTTCACTGTATGTTCAAGTAATGTTATTTGTTTTTCCACCAGTGATATAATTATCAAAATCCTATTATATTTTAGGGCTAATTTGAGTCATTTTCGATCAACAGGTTGCAAGTATTTTTTTGTAAAGACACAACTTGAAAACGAAAATGAATATTCAAATTCTAAATCTTCGGTCTACTATGAGTTTATCTTTTATTTATAATCATAGAAATCTCCTGCGACCAATTTCTGTACCCGATGACATTCGAAAAAAACATTATCAAGATAGATACGAGATATTGTCTGAAGATTATAATAACTGCACTGATGATGAACGAGAAATGAAAACCCCACCCTCACACTACGGTTCACATTATTCCAACAGGTGAGTGAAATATTTTAACTTGATCTAATCTGACTATCTTTTAGTTATGTGCATGTCTCTGAAATTTGTAGCGGACTCCAACAACTAATCCATAGAATAAAGGGCGCTCCAGAAGTGTGTGTATCAATATGAAGGTAACTAATTTTGTTCGCCTATTTTACATCTGGTTGTGTAGGGACTGAAATCTATGGGCAGGGGGTATATTCACTTGGCTAACACAGCCAGTCCACGAACTTGTAATAGAACTAAAATAAGGGAAATCGGATAAAAATTATGGCCTAACCCTAACCTGGTACACACACTTCGGGAGTACCAAATAAGTGCTGCTCGATTCAATATTGAATCTAAACCCAATTCCGAATTCAGAAATCATCTGATTTGGATAACAACAACGTTTTCGAATGTAAGTCTTGCAAAATTGTCTATTGGGAATGCATAGTCCAGTTAATGCTATTTTAGGTTTCGGTTGGAAAATGTAGACTTAAGTATCACTGTTAGAAGTTTTAAATTTTAGTTTCGACTACAATGAGTTTCAAAATGTGACTGCGTCTCCGATTTCAATATCAAATAAGTAGAACTTCTGCTCAACAGCCTTGGTTAAACTGATTTCGTAAAATTTTTAAAAATTGGGAATAACAATTTACTTGAAATGGCAATTATACAACAAGATGTAATTATCACAACCAGTGTGCCATATGTGGTATAATGCCTCGATTTTGGAATATTATACATATTTTTGAATGGTATATATGATATGATCTATCTCATTGATATGTCTAGCGTAAACATTTTGAGTGTCGGCTAAAAGAATATCCACTCTTTTTTGTAACTGATCCTAGCACTATATCGCTGTGATGTTATAGCTTCAAATATTATTGTGCTAATTTTGACATAAATCTGGATTTTTTTTAAGCTAAAAATGAATAGCCCAATTTTTGTATCTCAAAAATGGAATATTTATTATTATTTTGTTTTGTGCATACTGGGCCTCTGTAGTTTTGACTTCAAAATGCCTTTTTTGCAGTTAAAATTGATCATAATTTTGTTACAGCGGCACTGTGCTACATTTCCTCGTTCGTGTACCTCCGTACACTCAAATGTTTCTCGAATATCAAGATGCATCATTCGACATACCTGACAGAACATTTCATTCCATGGAAACAACCTTCAGATTGTCTTCGTATTCGTCAACAACTGATGTCAAAGAACTTACACCTGAATTTTTCTTCTTACCAGAATTTTTATGCAATTTAGAAGGTTTGTCGAAAAGTATGCCAGTTTTTCCGATAAGGGCCAGTTCCCTATTTTTATCTGCTTTGTGTTTTTTTTTCCACTAATTATGTTGTCGCAAAATACCATATGGCAAATGGTAATGTTTTTGAAATTAACTGTATTTTATTTATCGAAATGAATTGTACATAGGGATCATTTTGCTAAATTGTTGTTGTTGTTGTTAGTCTTTTTGGGATGCTTGGGGCTGTTGTTGTTGGTGAAAAAATTGCAACGACTGGACTATTCTATTTCAGTACAATCAAATTTTTAGTTTTAGGAAAAAAGTTGGTAGAAGGCTTTATCGTACTTTAGTACTTCATGCTTTTGTGCGGCCTAGAGTGCTCAATATTTCATCCAAAATTCCACTGTTTTATATTAATTCATGGGAACACTGATTTGACATTTAACCCTCGTGTCCATATATTCAAGCATCGCTCTCTTGTTTTACTCTCTCAAGTAGTCGACCATTTATATTCACCATAAAACAAACTAATGTTTGTTTCTTGACAATGGATAATTTGTTATTTCAAAAATTTGACTTTTCTCACTGTGAATTTTTCCGAATTTAGGTTTTGATTTTGGCATCAGACAATGTGGTCTTAGAGTAAATCATGTTACTCTGCCGTCTTGGTCTAAAGCGGATCCAAGATTATTTATCCTTATCCATAGACAGGTATTTGTAATTATTTTTGCAACCTAGCTAGCTGACATCACGAATTAAATTGCTAAATAACATCCTACAGGCTGCAAGTCATACAACCAAGATTAAATTCTGAATAGCTTTGGAATCATTGAGTCTTGATTCTTGATACACACACAGTCTTCTCTGATTCATCATGATAACATTCTGAAAATTGGAATGAGTCAATGGTGTTATGATAAATTGTGAATTTAACCATGTGCGCGACTTTATGGCAACCCTGTATTTACGAGACGTTTTCACCACTAATACTAGAAGCCATTATTTTCTGAATGACAATTTTTCTCCAATTCTGCATTCCGTACCTAATTCATTCCGCCCTGAGTGAGATGGAGGGTATGGGATTTGAACCCGAGATGTCTAACTTGTGATGCAAACGTTTTCAAGTCTAATGCATTAACCGCTATGCCATCTTGAGTCCATTTATATCTTTATCATTTAATGTGATATAGTATTTTAAATATTGCTTTTATTAGGCATTGGAAAGTGACTATGTATCAGCTAATCTACACGGATGGATTGATCTTGTGTTTGGTTATAAACAAAGAGGAAAAGAAGCAATTGATGCTATTAATGTCTTTCATCCTGCAGTAAGTATCAATTTCTATATTTGCTGCATTGTGAAAAACCTCACCTCATACTGTCATTCATCAGAGATTGCTAATCAGTTCCCAATGGCTGGGGGGGTGGGTCTGGCATATCTATAATTGCCGAAATTACATAGATTATATAGTTAATTATACAGTGAAAACGGTTATTTTACGAATTTTCTAACTATAAATTTCATATTTTTTTATAACTCAGACGTATTTTGGAATGGATGTCAGCCAAGTCGAAGATCCAGTCAAGCGGAAAGCTTTAGAAACAATGATAAAAACATACGGACAAACTCCGAAACAACTATTTATGTCTCCACATCCTCCGAAAAATATCAAAACAGAAATGAAAGACCAGGTCCCACAAGGATTGGCAAATAACGGGTCACGTCGTTCATCTTTAGGTATGTTGGGATTTTAAATAGCACTCGATTTATTTTTGGATATAATATGCCTTACTTAGACTTTTTTATTGCCTAGTTACTTTATCCTCACAAATTTCAATCTGTTTAAATATTATATGGTCAATACTGATGTATCTGTAACTATTTCTTTTTTTAATCTCGCTCAGTTCCACCTGGCCGTTCGACTCCTTCAAGACAAATATCTGTAAAAAGTGATAAGAATAGATCATCTATTATCAGTATTGATAAGGATACCAAAGCAGAACACTCGAAAGTGATAACAGTAAGTAAAATCCCTTGCTATGTTTGTTTATGTTGTTTTCTTTACTATTCTAACAAGGAAGAGTTTTATGAGATATGTGAATTAAATTTAATCGATGTAATATATGAGCTTTTTTTTGCAAAAAAAAATGATCGTTACACTGTGCCATATTTTCAGTCATTTTTTTTCAGTATATATTTTAACATATTTGTTCATGTTATGTCAAGTTCTACAAACTGTCCGATTAAAAGCATTTAAAAAAAAAAAGCGTATTAATATTTCCGGATATATTGTATTAAGCTAGCCCGCATTTATTGTTATATTTCTGTATTACAGCCACAGAGACCACTTGCCAGCGTTCTTGGTTTAAAATGGGGTCATTATTTGGGTTCACCTTCTGCTCCAGAACCTGTTGTGTTTCTAAACAAACCCTTATCCGAACCAGTTGGTAGTTTGATACCCCTACAAACAAACGATGTTTGTGCTTTATCACCAAAAATGGGATTGCTCGTTATTTATAACAAAGAGAGAGAGGTGCGTTCGTACAAGACGATTGATATTAAATGGTCTGCTCTCCTTACTTATGGACACCCAGACAAGTAAGTTTCTGTGGGTTTCTGTATTATATTTCATATCATTAGGCGTACAGATGACCCCTAACATCACGCTTTTACCCTATCAAATTTCGTACATTGCAAAACTCTGCGGTGGTCTGACTGTAACATATTCGAGAGTGTTTTTGTACTACCTACTTTAAATATACATTTGTATTCATACATGAGATTTCTATTTATATATCACTGGGGTTTAGCAATCAAAGATAACCTTTTAGTAAAGTCCATAGTGGTTTGTACAAAATCTAGTCATGAAATATGTAGATAATTGTTATTTTGTGATCGTTTTGCATGTTTCAAGTCTTCAAGTCAAATTTTTCTTGTCAATACTTTAACCAGAATTCGGTTGGAAACCGAAGACTTATCGATCGAAGATTAGGGGATCTCCCAAAACAGTGGTCTTACTCCATAGTGACACCGTGTGTCCCATCACTAATTAAATAATACCTTGCTAATTATACGACATAATTCATCCAAAATCAATAGGCTTCTGATCCGAGCTATGATGAATGCACATGCGAAATTTGGAGCAGATTGAACCTTGCTTTCGTGAGATATCGCGTGCATCTAACAGACAAACAAACAAATAAATACCTGCTATCAACATACTTACCGATCTTAAGATCGATAAGTAATAATGTTTTTGAAACACCCCCTGTTGAGCTGTTTGACTTAGCATTTCTCAATTCCTATTCAAGGTCAATATATTTATTTACCTCACTTAGCTATATTCAATTTATATTTACAGCGTTGTTAGACTAAAAATGAAGAAATCACTTCCCGACATTAATTTGTTTCGAACACCTGCAGATGACAGAGTAACTTGCTGCTCTGTAGCCCCAGATTGTCGAGCCATCGTACTCGGACATAGAACTGGCGCAATTATTGTAAACAAGTGCAATCCTTTACCTGACAAGGTGAGTTTACTAAAATTTCTCCTCTAAAACCAAACTGGCTGACATAGACATTCCAGGATGACTTTGGTAATGGTTTCTATATTTGAGGTAATCTTATAGAGTTAGTACAGGGTAGGGCAAAAAACCTCCAACATTTCTTTTGAAAAAATAGAACATAAATGTTAGAAGCGTTTTTTTCCTCGCCCTCGATTAAGTACACTTTTTTACAACCATCAGTCATATTCAATTCATTAAGCTTTTCAATAGTTAGTTCCATGTTATTTCAACACTGGGTATTGCTATAGTTCATTTCTTTCAAATCCTGTTTAGGCATTTGATTTGGAGTTTCAACGCAGTACAACGCTTTATGGCCATTTTGGTGAAATTACTTGTCTTGTCACATGCGGAGAATTTCGCATTCTTGCCAGCGGATCTAAAGATGGAACTGTCGTATTATGGGATCTGGATGCATTAACATACATTCGTTCATTAACTGGACATGCTACATCTGTCTCTTCTCTGGCTGTCAGTAGAACTTCTGGTGATGTTTGTACAGTGTGTGATTCAGGTCTGTTGATTCATATTTATAGTTCCAAATTTTTGAAAGACTAAATTTATGGCTCAGGGACGAACGAAACAAAATATTTCGCTATCTCGAATACATTCTGAAAAAAATATTTTTGAATATGAAATATTGGATACATTCTAAATTCGGGGCAAGCTCATCTGAAAAATTACATAGATCTTCATGTAGATCATATCCGAAACGACAAAAACATAAAGAACATTGTTTTCTCTGTGTTGTATTTTTACCAGTTGAGATATCGTACGTTTTGATCTACTTGTCTGATGTCTAAAAATTCCTAATTTTTTAATAAAAATAAATTAAAAAATGTACTACATCCAATATAATGAATTTCAAATATTTGACTCGTTTTTGACATCTCTGCTATCACTTTATTTTTCATTATATTCCAATATTCAGTATTATCAATGTCAGAAAATCATTTCATTCACTATTCCAGATCCTTATTTTAATTAACGAAACTATTTTAATACAGGAAACAATGAAGGCAGTCATATACGTTTATGGACAATAAATGGTAGCTTACTTGCTGCCCAGGATACTAAACAAAGAGTTGGTTGCGTTTCATTCAGCTCTGCCCCAGAAGGAATATCTGTAAACGTCGTAGCTGGAGGGATGTCAAATGGCGTTATTAGATTATGGTCATCATGGGACCTGACCCCGATTCAAGATATTTCGACACCGGGGGTGGATAAACCAATTTCATGGTAAGCTGTTGCGTCATGTTTATTATCGGTGTATGTTGAATTGCTTTACCCCAGAAATGACCCAAACATATATGCAATAATGTTGATGTAATATGGCAATAGGCACATCATGCTATGGCTTATTTATACGCTTGTCATGGCGTCGATGTCTCTGTGGCTCTGGTTACCCTGCGTAGGTTCGAATCCTGTTGAATATTATTATTTGCATGGGGTAGTTCAAGTAACCCCTGGTTGGTTTTGGGTTCGTCCGCCATCATGTCTATTGTATCTGAAAATAATAACTGATTAACTATTTCATTATCCGACATAGACTGGTAACCGGATGAGAGGCCATTGTTCTCCATATACTTCAGCTATTTTTTTGAATTTCCTCTCTCCCTATCCTACATATGATTCATGTAATAGTCACACTTATTCTATATTTTGTTTTTAGCATAACATACACCCACAACAGTGAAGTGCTCTATGCTGCTACATGTGATGGATATGTTCTAGCTTGGTGTTTCAAAGACAAAATGGAAGACAAAAAACCCATTCTCATATCGTTTTTAAATGTGGGAGAAAGAAGCTGATAACCAATGTAAATTTACTCATTTTTTTCTTTTTTCCATTTCTGCCTTTTTCTTTTCATATCCTGTTTCTCTCTCCTATGCTCTCGTTTTTTTGCGCTTTTTTGACGATTGTTTAAAGTTAATGGCTGTGCGACATAAATTGGCACCAAGCCATGTCAATTTGCTTGGCCCCTATTTATTGATTGCATGATCCATTATTATTAACCATGTTTATATTCTGTATTATTTCATGATTACTATTGTTTACTTTTTTTTTAAACTTTGATCAACTAAACTTAAATATCCAACTCATTTTTGAAATGAAACCCCTATTGCTTAACAATCCCCATATTCATTGCCTGTGATGATATATTGCAGTAATATTAGTTTCAAGATGTATGCAAGATTTTTGAAAGAATGTTTTTACGTGTAGACATAGATTGCCCACAAAGAATCACTAGCCTTTGTTGACTGTACTATACCTATTGCTGTATTGAATATTCAAAACATTGAAAAGCTGTGAATCTGCCTTAATTAATATGTGAATTGCATTGTGATGCATTTAAAAAACGACATTGAATTCTGTTATTGGACGAATTGCCACAGGAGTTTGGGCAATTTAGATTGAAGTTCAAAATTTTTGATAGTGTAAGTGCTTTTTTTCTTGAGAATCCACTTAATTGGAATTTGGAATTATTGTTATTTTTGTTGAAGCTTGCCGTTTTTGCATAATTTTATAGTTCATGTCATACTATGCCTATCTAACTCACCATATTTGGTGTATGAATCATAATAATGGCCCTAAACAATACTGACACTTCAATACTGAAGCAGTTTTCTCTCATATTATCAGTCTCTTAGGATATGTACTTGGTTCTTATGTGCTCTACAGTCAATAGTTAATCTAGATCAGTGGTTACCAAGGTTAATTGACCGGGGCAAGGGGGCTGATGTCGGTACCAGTACGTATAATTAAGATACCGCTATAATTGAATTGTTACGAATATACACATGCTTGAATTGTGATAATGACGTAACAATTCGAGGTATCTAGACCAGTTCTCTTCAACCTTTTTGTTATTGTGGAACCCCTGATATCATTTTTCGTTTTTTATGGAACCCCAAATAACAAAAATAAAACACGAAATATTTGTAATTCAAATATTTCCACCTCAACAACGAAACAGAAAGAAGGTAACAATCGTGAAATTCAATGACCAGGTTGTTCTTGCATTTTCTTTGCAATCTTCTTGAATCGTGGCTCCAAGGCGCTCAAAGCAATTCTCATACTCATGTCTACACTCTTTAATAGTTGTTAAAGCAGAAAATGCTGATTTACACAAATAGATATTGGGAAATTGACACAAAGTTTTATTGCATTTTTGCAATTGCTGTACCCTCCTTGTGAAGAGAAATCCAAAAATATTCCTTCCCATTTTTTGCAACTTTACTGGCCCAGCAGTCATTTTTTCCTTTACGCGGAACCCCCAAGGAACCCTATAAACTCACGGAACCCCACTGCATGTGTTGCGGAACCCCTGTTGAAGAGCACTGATCTAGAACGCAAAAGGCTAAAAACATAAAGTTCGGCGCAGGCCGTTATTGACCCACGGTTTGGGAACCACTGGTCTGGATAATAAACTTGTATCCCCGCCCTCATTCAAACTGAAAACCTTGCTTTCTAGAGATCAATCTGTTTACTACCTACTGTGTTCTGTTTAATCTGTGATTGGGTTCACACTTCAGGAATTTTCTTAAATTTCAGTGCTTTCATGAGCAGCATTTATTTAACCACCTATATGTTATCTTTGAAATGATTGAATCAAGTCTGTCTTAGGCAATATCCACACTTTTAACTGGACTTTTATTATTATATGGATATTCAAATAACTCACTCCGATATGGGATTAATTGTTTCGATTAAATTTCATAGTTTGTTCATTTTTTCTTTAAAGTATCTTTTATACTTCATATTACATTTTGAGATTCGACTTTAATTCAAACAAATTTGAATTGATCAAAGTTTTACACAAAAACATATTACAGGACTTAGGCCACATTTTATGTCTATGCAAACCATCAAACTCTGCTGTATTTATTTATGCATTCATACAATTTCACATTGACATGAAACATTAGAATTTAAGGTCTTGCTTGAATCGCTAAGTGATATGTTGTTCCTTTTGCATTGTTTTTTTTTAATTGTTTGTCGCGAATGCTTGACTCAGTTTACCACAGCTCGAAGTCTTGAATTCTATCTCCTATCTTGAAGAATTAGAAATTTCTACTTCTGCTCTGACTCCCGATTCTGTAGTTTATAAATAGTAATTTTTTGCTGCAGAAAAAAAGCAAATTCCACAATAAAGCCAGTAATTTAGGCATTTTACAAAAAATAATATCTCCTATTTTGTGGGGAACGAATCCCCTTCGTCCACACTTAATTCTGCTGTAAATAATACATCACGACTTTTTTTCTCTCATTTTCCTTCTTCATGCTACGTACAGTATCTTCTTTCTTGTACTTTTGATTCGAGATTTTTGTTCAATGTGCAATATTAGTCAGAACGCCAATAAATACAATATTTTTATGCAAAAGTCTCTCTGTTCCTTAGAGTAAGTGTTAAAACACGCTGACCGGCGATTGCGACCACTGATATAGACCAGTGTTTCTCACAAGTTAATAAGTTTACAAAGTCAGTGAATTTTGTTGTTTTGCATGTCTCTTCGTACATGTAGTCCATTTACTTAAAAGACCAGTGGTTTCCAGAAGGTGCGCCGTAATTTTGGTTAATTAATAGAAACACAACTAAAATATGGGTATATATTGTATTTATTGTTTATCATTTTAAATGATGTGTGTATGAACGAATACTTTCATTTTACTTTCTGTTACGTAGTGTCTACCTCTATTGTTACGCATAATGGAGGTAGACACTACTTGCTGCAATTTGGGACTTGCAGTTTATTCATCTGCTGAAACGCTAACATGAGTGATTATTTTAAGCATTAAAAAAAGTCAGGCAGATATGGAGAAGAAGAGTTGACTTTTTGCCTTTATTCCTTCGGACTGACTACATGCTTACAAACTTCAAAATGCATAAAGCACACAATAACGATTCCAAAATTAAATTTGATTCAAAAGCATCATTTTTTCGTGTGAGTGTGCCGTGAGTTATTTCCCCTGATAATTTTGCGGCGCACGAAAAAAAGTTTGTGAACGCCTAACCTAAATTTAATTTTTTTTATTGGATTGTATCCCAGTGGGAATCTCATGGGATGGGATGGAATGGGAAATGCATAAATTGCTACGGGATTGGGTGAGACAAAAAAAAATGTTCCATTGACAAGCCTGAAAATCCAGGCGATTTTCTGCGTTTTTCACGTATTGTAATGACGATAAAACAGAATCGCCACTTTGACTGATTGTTATCTTCGATGAGAACGTGAACGCATTTGGCTGCGACAATCTCGCACGGTCGCGTGGTCTGCATTGACGCCATTCCCCTGCAAGGCTTCCTGTTTACGCATTGATTTCCAGTACTTTGAAAAAGTGAAAATTATGTGAAGCCGTAATTGTTACAATACCCAAAACAGTACATTCTTGTTACCACTTTTGGCATATAATTTTGATAATGATAGTTAAAAGTATCGACTATTATAAGGTTAGTTTTCTATTGCGTAAAATATTCTAATCCGTGACCGATACCAGCTTTTTAAACCGTATAATAATTTTGTTCAACGTAACTCAAAGATGCTCCGACTTACGAAAAAATAAAATCTAACCTAAAACACCACAAAAATCTGTGGACATAAAATGTGTGATAAACTACACGATTACAGTTAATTTTTTATTCGTATTTTCATACTTACGAAAAAATAAAAACCTTCCTATTCTCGAATACCATCACCGTATAATAAATGACATGGGTGGCCACAGTCGCATCCTATAGTTACGTTCGAGCGCCTGAATTGATGGAATCGACTGGGATTTTCATTAGAAAGTATTGCTATTATTTTAAAAAATAGGAATATTTTTTAATTTTGACACGAAATATATATATATATATATAAAAATACGAATAATCTGGCAATGAATTCTCGGCCCGCCACGAGCGTGGGCCGCGAACCATCGGTTGAGAAGCGCTGATATAGACCATATTCCGATATTTCGGTCTGAAATCGTTATTTAAGACACGGTTCTGCGGAAAAATAGATGCACTGGAAATATTTGCAAAAGTTATTCACGCTGAGACTTTGCGTCACCAATTCCAGCTATGGCATTCTCATCCGAAATTAACCGCTGAAGTGCATATGGTCATGTAACTTGAACAGTTGGAAGCTTTCTATTTCTGGGAGGGAGTGGGGGTACAAATTCAGTGGTGTGGTAGATCTTGATATTGGCGGTAAAGTATTTGTTACTTATGAAATGTGTTGTACATTTGACTGACCGTCAACACTGGTATATATATATATATATATGCCACTTTCTAGTTATATATACAATTATATTTAAATGAAGGATTAGGGGTGTGGCATTACACTTCGAAATCAGGCGGGTGTTCGAAATTTTTAGACGGCATGTAATGGACATAATTCATAGTCTCCAGAACCTTGCGCCTAAGAAAATTTTTTTTTTATACGTTACGATTCCAACGATGCCTATTTTGGGAGTATTTTCTCGAGTCAATGCCAACTCCATAACTTTCATAAAAGTGCGATCTTCTTTTTTCCTTCAAATATAAACATAAACGCCGACTTGCTGAATGTCATTCTACGGACACGTATTCAGACAGTATATATTCCTTACGTTTTATTTATGGTGTAAAACTGCTTAAATATATTATCTCGATGAACAGAGACCCGTAAAAATTAAAAATAAATTAAGTTTCTTCGAATCCAAATATCATTCGTAGTCACTGAAAAGATCCTGAAGCAATATCGAGTCTTCATAAGCTTGTTGTAGGTCGTCGTCTTCAATCATTCGAGATCTTTCGGATCCTAAAATTGAATTTTTAAAATATATTGCAATCAATATCACAATTATTTCACAAATCAATTTAACTTTACAAGATATATCAGCACAAATGTCACTTTTTCTTATAAGAGTGGACTAATCATTGTGCCAACAAAATTTGGGAAGTGCCCGTAACATCTATTTTCCCAAGATATAATTCAAATGCGATACGTATATACTGACCGTAACGACCGGGCGCCTAAAATCGTGGACTTTTAGTAGTGTTGAGGGTCTAAATAGCGTTTGAAGCTACGAAAAAAAAAGGGGGGGGGGGGGGCGACACCCAACCCCAGCCTGGCTACGCCCCTGGATGAAATACAAATTTGTACATACCTTGTGATGAACTCCAACGCACACCCCACTCATTTAACCTCGAGTCAGCAAGTGCATTGAGCCTGGAACAAAGCAAGAAATAAGATTGTTTTAGTAAATATAAAATATACCACAACAACTGGTTTTCAGAATGAATTGGCGTTCACTTCAGAACCACGGGCAGACTTTTGCTTTGCATTAGCTGTTATATTACTAATATATTTTTATTCTTTAATATTACTCCAATGATTATTCACATAAACATTATAAACTTCTTTAACTGTACTGTAGCGAGTAGGTTACTTATAGATATTTACTGTGTATTCCAATACTTTTAATCACACATTACAAAGCTATCTCCTTGAAACACGATCGTTGACTAGATATTTTCATGCAGGGCCAAATTTAGACGAGGAGACTTGGGAGGCCCATCTTTAACGACGACATTAAAAATTCATTAAATGTCATAAACAGTCGTTGTAAATATATCGTGGCGTCATAAATATATCCATTTTTAAATTGCGCAAATGACAAACTTTTAGTAGGTTACTTATAGATATTTACTGTGTATTCCAATACTTTTAATCACACATTACAAAGCTATCTCCTTGAAACACGATCGTTGACTAGATATTTCCATGCAGGGCCAAATTTAGACGAGGAGACTTGGGAGGCCCATCTTTAACGACGACATTAAAAATTCATTAAATGTCATAATAAGTCGTTGTAAATATATCGTGGCGTCATAAATATATCCATTTTTAAATTGCGCAAATGACAAACTTTTAGGTATAAGGCAGGGTAGGTTTACACCAATTGCCCAAGTAGATTAGATAGTGATTTGAATTTGAAACACTTGAAATATATATATATATTTATTTGTATTGAGGTTATAAGTGTATTTTATTATCTGCTATTTGGAACAATTCGATTCGATCGTGTAACTTGAACATTTGGCATTGCATATTGTGTGCTTCATATTTGACATCTATTCTAAAAGAGTTAGGCTGTACGCTCTCATAATATGGCCCCTTCCCCGATCTTTGACCCCCGAAAAATTCTTCCTGTACTTTACCATTGCAAAATTTTCGGGGCTTACTTTAAGAGTGGTTTCGCGAGTTGGTGCTTGTAAAATGGGCTGTAAACTTTCTGCATCTTGCAGATTGGCCAATGTCACGAAGTAAACAAGGAAGTCGGTGCTCGGGGCAAGGTCCAAGTAGTACGCGAAGGTAGGGACCCACTTTTCCCTGGTTATCACTGACATACCGTTATTAAGGTATGCTCTTTTGACATTTTCATTTGATTTCCGGTTCGTTTCCATATATTTGAGCACGGTTCTTTAACGTTCATGCAGGACTACCAATCACATACCTCTTTATCCCAAAATCAGATTCGCAAATATTGGATTACACTCACGTAATACTGTGCTATTATTATTCAAAAATGTGCTCACCTATGATGTTTTGAATTGACATTTGTTAAAATCGCAGAGAGAATAACGAAGGAAACGAAATATTCTTTTATCTAGAAAAAGGAACATATTTGAAATTATGCTGTTTCGATAGAAAAAATGCCAACATTGAACACGCGTCCTCGAATTATTTTTCAACTAACTGACTGATATATAACAATGGTACTCAAACTTTATTCAGGCGACCAAAATTTAAAAATAAGAATTTTATTTTAAGTTTTGCGACCCAAATATATGCTTAAATAATAAACGGCATATTGTGCTTTTGTGGCCTCAAATTTGAATTCGAATTACTATTATCAAATAAAGCAATATATTTTTAAATATTATTTATTTTACGAGAAATCGCTCCAAAATAGATGCTGCATAGTTTTTACGATGTGATGCCTCCCGCGTATACAACCTCAAATTAAAATAAAAATATCTTGGGGTAATATATATCGGGCGCCATAAGTCTTCCTCTTCGAGAACATGAATATATATAAATTATATGATAAACCTCAACAATAATAACAACAAAAACTTAGCATAACTTAGTTTCATGCAATGTTGATAATCGAACAAATCAGCGCAATTGTGCATTATTTGTTTCAAAAACTCACCTTCATAACGGTGGTATTGGTGAATCGATTGAGCTGTAGCACTTTCTCTCCTTCTTGTAGATAAGTTCTTATAAAATCATTCATTCACGCAATAAAGAGTGAAAATCCTTTCTATGGTGAATTTTGCATTCTATCACACAATGACTCAACACGTGGGGAAGTTTTCCTTTTTGCAAAAATTAGTCAATTCTATGGTAATTTCCTGTTTTCTTTTGAAGCGGAAATAGCGTGGTAAAAGCGATTACTTGCTCCACAACATTTCAGAATACGCGAGAATACGAGTATCCGACGCAAACGCACAGTCTAAACTAAAAAAAAACGATAGCAATGCTCGCCCATCTGTACCATTGTGGTAGAGCCTTAAGCCCTAGCCGACCCCGAGTTTGGTGAAAATATCGGCGACCGAGTAGGCCGAACAAAGTGTTTTCATATTTTATATAAAAAAAGCATTTCCATGAATTTAAAAACGGCAGCATTTTGGAAAATATATTGAATCTCAAATAGAATTACAGAAAATTCAAAAACGAAGTGTTTTCCGCCCAAAGGCTTCATTCAATTTTAGGTAAGCGCACGGAAAATTTGAAACCGATCGGTCCATTAGGTGAGGAGAAAGGTGTTTTTACCATCACATACCAACAACAACAATAACGAAAATTGAGTAAAACAGTTGTTTTCTGCTATATCATATGCAGTTTTATGATGTATTATATTGTATTGTCATATTCTGCCCATGATGATGATACGATATGGGCGGTTGGGAATTTTAAAACACCAGGAATTTTTTGGTATTCGGAGAGACTATAAAATGGTACAACATACAATCTTTTTTGACTAAAATATATCTGATATGGTTTATTGCTTTAATATCATTTCCATTAGTCGGGAAACGACGCAAAATTGAACAGTCGATTGACACCACTCGTCTCTAAATCAACAAAGGGCCACGCTAAAAATCCTTTTACTGAAAATTTGTCACGTATTTAGATACTCGTTAGATTTTGCTATGATCTGGATATATGTGTCAATGACCAAATATTCTTTTGTTTCCATTTTTTGGTATTTTAATATTAAAGGTGGCACACAAAATAACTGTTGAAAACGCGTTGAAAGCAAAAGCAAAAGTGTTTCAATAAAATACCAGGAAGTCACAATTGTTGGGAGTCTTTGGCAGGAAGCCACGGATCATGAAAATTTGAGTTAACTTTGCTAGAGTCCGACACCCCCACTCCATTGTGTTACAGAATATTCTATTACTCGAGGTTTGTTTACAATAGCGCCATAACTTGTTTGCAAACTATCTAGTGCTAGTCAGCGTGCAAATTTCCTCGTCATCGTGTCATTTATTGTTTGAAAAACTTTATGTATTCAGCTAAAACTTCGGCAGGATACCATAGCAAAATTATAACAAATTAATGAAAAAGTGGTTTGATACAACATATTATTACAGAATTGTATCAATTGTTTCTCATATATCGCTGTTTAATTAAAGTTTGTATATGACAGTTAAATTAATTAAATAATATTAGTAATACTGAATTGTTGCATGGATGTAATCACAACTTGAAAATCTGTGACCAATATCCTCATTTGTACTGTGGTAAATTGGAAGATGGATACACCTAGCAAATCAGTACCACCCAAACCTAAGAGTCCAACAAATCGACTAATGCGTACCACTGCTACAATGACCAACACCATTGAGGTTGATGATATCACAAATCCAGTGTCAGTTCTTGATGGTACAGTTGTCAAATTTTTACGCATCGATATCCCAGCCACACATCTTAACAGAAAGACAACAAGACCAAGAACGTCGTTCCAGACTTGACAATCTGGAGTTTCACATCATACCCTAATCAATTGGAGAGAACAATGAAAACCTTATATCTAAGTTGTGTAAGATGATGTTCCATTACAATTTTTTGACATCTCTAACTGCCACAGACTGTCAAGAAACAATAAAAATAAACCATCTCCAATTATTGCTACATTTATTAATAGAAAAACAAGAAACCAAATAGTATGTCTAAGAATCGAGGCAAACTCAAGTCTTTTGACATGTCCACGGTTTTCCAATTGTTCCAGAGCAAACAAAGTCTCCATAAGACAAAACCCGTCAGACACCAGAAAACCTGTCACTACAGAAAATGATCTGCTTTCAAAAAGTAGGTTGTTATCTTATACCTATGCCAAATGAATCCATTGTGGATTTTACTAATTTATTATTTCTTCATTGCCTATATTCCATGTTAAATGGATGACAAATGTCTGTAATAGCCCATGTAATAACATGGTAGTCTCACATTTGGAAAATATTCAAGATGACTTTGGCCTAACTATTCATTTAAATATTCGGTCTTTTTAAAAAAAAAAAATGTTGATCAATTACCTGCACTAATGTACAATTTCTCCTTTTCTTTCCATATAGGCCTAATAGCAATAAGTGAAACGAAATTAAATAGTACTCATGCGTCTAATATCGGCATTGATGCTTACAAATCCATCCATGTCCCTTCTGCTTCTAAAGTGTCTACATCAGAAATGATATCAAATTTGAGGTTACTAATTCAAGTCTGAACTATTCCTATTGTGAAAAGTTATGGTTTGAAATAAGCCTGAAATACATATCCAGTAATCTGAGCATTGGCATTATCTATAGATATATACCCCAACGATATTCCAGCGTTCCCAAGCATATTCGAAAACATATTCAAATAGTGGGAGATCTCTATTTCAACTTGCTCGCAACATATTCGGATATGTTAACTGCTCATAACGCTATTTCTCTGATTACCAGTCCCACTCGAGTTACACATACTTCCTCGACACTTATAGATCACATGACAGATCTGAAAATTAATTCCTATGTAATATCCCTGATCATTTTCCTATCATGTACTGTTTTAACGGCATCAAACCATCGATCAGACATGATCTTATAATTACTAGAGATTTGAATTCTCATAATTTGGATAGACTCTTCGAAGAATTTACGCAATATCTTGTTAAAATAATCAACCGTCTTGCCCCATTAAAAGCAGTGTCACGCCGCCAAACAAGAATCAAACTTAACTCTTGGATATCCGAAGGAATACTCACTAACATACGCCTGAGACATAAGATTTGAAAACTGATAGCGAAAGCTTGATAATTCGGTTTCTGCGAGACTAACTACTTATTCTTCTATGCTTGTGTGCCGGCGGATCCGTATGCATATAATGCATGGATACTGTAGCAAGAGTAAAGATAACTAATCTAAGTGATTCAAGAGCTTTGCTATGTACAGTTGAACCATGTATGTCTGAAGAAGTCTGAACTTGGTCAGACGAAACGTTACAGAAATATATTTGTGTTAGTGCGCAGCAAGACTCTTGAACCACTTAAAAACTTAGTAGTTATGCTTTTCCATTAGTTCAATGACAGCCACTTTATTAGAATTCTAGATCGTCAAGAAATTAACAAAAATAAAATAGAATTCTTTATTCTGGATGAAATTCCAGTAAATCATTCAGTTTTGCCCATTCCCTAGAATCAAGTTTAAAACATTGTTAGCTGTAACGAGAGATGAGAATGAGACTTAGCCATGTATTATTCCACAGTAAAAAAAAACATTGTGATTCGACGTCAATTTGTTTTGCAGATATTTGGATTTTATCTTTGCAAAACAAATTGAAGGCGAGCGCATTCCAAGCCAATAAATTCTCAATAGGATTTCTAAAAATGTTTGCATTTATTTATAACATTTCATATACCACAGTATCGTTTACCTACAGAGAACTTGTTACGTTTGCTCGGGCGCTCATAATTAATTCCCCTTAACGCAAAGTTTGCGATGGATCGGCTGTATCAAGCCCAAGCAAAAAATTGGGTATTCTCGAAGTATGTGAACCAAGACGGCGGACACCGGAACGTATTATGTGTACCAGGTTGCCATATTTTTATTCCAATTTCCCTTATTTAGGTTCTTTTACGAGTTCGGAGACTAGCCAAGTGACTCCCGTAGTATTTGTACCTGAAATTATGGCCTAAACCCTACCTGGTACACATACTACGTTCCGGAGTCCGCCATCTTGGTTCCCATACTTCGGGAGTACCTATAATTGTGCACCACCTTCACCTTGATTTTTCAAATTATTTGTGTAGCGTACCGGCAATGTATGAAATAATTATCCGGGTTCAGAATATTTTCTAATATGATCTGTCCTCTAGCTTCCCTCTCAATAGTCCAAGTCTTCACGCTGTTTTATGTCATTTATTTAACAAATCGAACAGTGAACGATACAAAACAACCAAACACTCCAAAGGAAAAAAAGCATAAAATAAAAATAACAGATACCAGGCAGTAAAAATGCAAGAAAGACCATATACACCATAAAAAAACACTGACGAACCCTGAAATCGAAGAGACTTTCAAATAGAAACTAAATGACCCCCTAGAATCCAGTACAATAAACTAGCTACTACCATTTGCAGAACAGGCCGAAAATAACTTATGACAGGCATTTTTAAAAGACGACGAACAATTCTATAGGTGCACAACATTTGAATAGTACTGATAAAAGCTAACTGAAAATACTACACTACGGTAAATGAACTGTAATGGCACTGTACTCAAACAATAACATGGTCCCTACGTCAGCCCACTGTCCAGCACAAAACATCCAACAGTCACACAACCACAGACAAACATCCCCGAAGACCAGAGGCACCCACACAGACACAAAACAACCACCAATCCAACCGAAACACTCAGACGACTGCCCCTCGTCAACCCATGGTGCAGACCATGCCGCAAAAAAAGGAAGGCCGACAGTGTCACAGCGCCCCCAGTGTCCTCACTGATAGAATACTAAATATTGAAACGATATCACATGACGTCATTTAACAGGCAAAAAAAGGGTCGTCCCAGTTGTATTAGTGTATTTGATTTTAATAAAAAATTTGAGTGAACCCCATAATTACCGACATTTAAAAGCATTTATAAAATAGCTGATCCCACATTCGTGAATTTGAAATTTTATTTACGGTATATTAAAAAACGCATGTTTTTTAGAAAATGAAGGTTTCAAGATGAACTCCGGAGACGTGGCGGTTTGTAATTTATTTTTATCCGCAGTTCGTCTACAATCTAGTTGTTTTGTTATTTACATACATCTGTGATGAGCCTATGGTTGTACAATTTCGTTTCAGAATTTTCATTCGTAAGTCGAAAATTGGAAGTAACAGAAGGTGATAGTCGTTCGCTATTCTAGTGTCCGATTTGATATTTTCGAATCGTTTCACACATTCAAAAACAACACGACAACAAATTCAAGCAAGTTAAGAAGCGTTCACTAAGATTAGACACCCGCATATGTTTTCCTGTTTTAGTTTCATGCTTTACTTAAATTTTGCTGTTTGTTTTTTGTTCGTATTGTTTTTAATATTTTGCGACATTTTGTAATATTCATGTATGCTGCTAGAACATGGGATACTATTTTTAACTTCATTCATTTTAATATGTTGTTGCCGGTCCGCGAGGTCATCTCATGCTACTGGTCCGCCAGGTTAAAAGGTTGGAAACCCCTGCTCTAGACTGTCATTGGTGCCGTGTTTCAAATATTCGTATCCTTTGTACACGGCATGCTCAATAGGGCTGGGCATTTCGAATCGAATATTCGAATCGAATCGAATAGTAAATTATTCGAATCGGTTCAGAGCTAAATTTCGAATCGCCGCCATCTTGTTTTTATCTTTTCGCCAATGGTCGAGGTGAATTCCCCAATTTTTTTTCATTAGAGTCATATTTTTCCAACGAAATTCTAACATATGACTATTTTCTGTAGTGAGTTATTGATAAAACGTGTTTGTTATTCTGTGTGAGCGCTCAGTAATCTATCTGGGTGATTTA